GACTGCGCCATGTCAGATGCGGTCTCTAACCACTGGTGTGGACCATCCCAAGGTCCCCATCCACGACGACTGCACGCACAGCTTGACGAGACCGACACTGGTGGTTTTCCTGGACTTGAAAGCTGCTTTCGACTCTGTTGATCACGCCAGTCTGTCCCACCGCCTATCCACGAAGGTCATGACGGATAAATTCCTTTCCATTCTTACTTCTCTCTACCGTGACTCGAGGTCGCGTAATGGTCTACGGGAAACTGTCTCCTGAGTTCCCATGACAATTGCGGTTCGCCAGGATTGTCTTATATCTCCTTTCCTCTTCAACTTGCGATCGAAATCATTATGAGTGACTTCTTTCTTTCACACTACCGGAGTGGAAGTTCTACCAGGTGACCGACCAACAAACCTTGAGTATGCGGACGACATAGCTTACATTGGGTCTGACGCAGTCGTTATACAAACACTACTTAGTAGACTGGTGCGTATCGTTGCATGCTTCGGCGTAGGTTTTGCAGCTCCAAAGTGCAAAGCGCTGTTACGGGACTGGACCGGCACATCACCGGTTTTAGCTCTCACTGAACAGCCACTCTAAGTGGTGGATCGGTTTACTTACCTTGATAGTTGGGTCGCCTCCGGTGGTCACATCACTGAGGAGGCTAATTCGCGTAACAACAAGGCGCGTGTGACTTTCCAAAGGCTCAACCATTTATGAAGACGGCGGGTTATCAGCCTGTCAATGAAAATTAGGGTGTATAACGCTGCGATAAGGCCGGTGTTGCTGCATGAATCAAAGACCTGGCCAGTTCGCAGTGAAGACATTAAACACTTGGCCGTGTTTGACCACTGGTGCTTGCGAAGCATTGCTCCCATATGGTTGGAACACAATGCGCAATGCTGAAGTCTGCCATTTGGTTTTTGGCAAGAAACTTTCTTGTGCCTCACTCGAGTGTTTGCTTATGTTCAAGGGCTTGCGTTGGTTAGACCGTATGCCCGTTGATCGACTTCCTCGGTGTGCATTTTACGCCGTAGCTGCACCTAGTTGAGTGAAGTCGCTAGGTGATAAGTTCATGACATGGTATGGTGCCATGAAAAATGTAAGAGACTTGCTCAGGCTGATTCGTTCCGTCTTCGTGCATTGTCCACGCTAATGGTTGAATACCCTTTCAGACATGGCGCAGTCGCGCAGTCAGTGTTGTTTCCGCATCCAGTTTTTTGCATCTAGCTCTTACTTTTCATTCGAACTTGATTCCTTTAAAGCACCTTAATTCCGTTTTCTTTACATTCTATTTCCATTCGACCCTATTTACTTGTCGTTTCTATTGTATTGTTGTTCTGGTGACGTGAGTCCTGGCAGCTGGACCCACTACACTTGGGTGCCCGCATTCTGGTTGCTCAAATGAACTGAATTTGTGATCTTAGTAGCGAAGTTCCGCTGAAATATTTCTCTGATCCAGACTCTTGACATCTGCCACATTAGTGATCGGAACCTCCGCAGCGAAATGCTGCAGTCCCCTATTCAGTGACGTTCCTGTATTCGGTCTTTGCTTCTAACTGTTAATTTTCAACCCCGATTAACTTGACCCCCCCTTTTCTCCCTTAGCCCCCTTTGCATCCTGCTTCTCAAACTGTTTCACTTACCGACCAGTTATATTTATCGTTTTCCCCCCGACACTAGTCGCGGCAATTGAATTCAATTGAGAAAATAATCCCGAAAAGTGGATCAGAAGTAGAAGATAGCTAGACGAACACGCTTATTTCCGGTGGCTCGCTTCAGGCCAGCACACCACAGAAAATAGGAACAAAACTAACACAGGGTATTTAAATGCGGTGAATCAGTGAAGCGAATTGACCGGTCAATGAGATTAAGTGACGGCGCTGGCTCAAGCAACATTGGTAAAAGTGTTAAGCGCCGCGTCCTTACATGGGGCGGCTTGAGGCCATGGTAAATGAAGAGCCAGTACAAACTACTTTTGAGCACATAAGTTGGGGTTGTGGAGCCGAATAGTGATCGCCTCCGTAGTCGCTAATAGGCGACATCGGAGGGCTCGCGTGTGGCGTCCAGATATCCGGTAGATGGCCGGAAGGCCTCTCGCATGTTGACTTGGTGATTTGAATCGACCAAGTGCCACAGCACCGCGCTGGCTACTGTTTTTCTCACACTAGTGTATAGCCACACCAGGAAATGTTCCCTTACTCTCTCAGACAGTCGCCTGGTCCTCTTTCCAACATAACTTACTCGACACGAGCGATTGAATTCGCCGCATTTCGATAATTGGAGCATAGTTTTTTTTAACTTAACTGACCTATTTATAAATGATAACGAACACAATAAAAAATATATCCTTATCACTTTATATTGGACGTTTTGAAAGCCACGTTTGACTTTTTGCAAAACGAATCGGACGTTTTGCCTACCGAATTGAACACTGCATTCTAATCAGCAATTCCTTAGCAAGATGTGAGGATTATGATGACTGATTGATGGTTAGATCACACTGTAGCCATCCCAGTGCAGTCCAGTTATGTATGCATCGGATGCCACTACAAACCCTTCTCCTGATCGCGAACTTCGATCGAAGGCGGTGACTGAGTATCTCCTTGTCTCCTTGGCCCCTCATATGTCCTCTCGTAGTTTGTGTTTCTGACTTTACGCATGGACCTGTGTAGCTATGTGACTATTAGAAACTCAGATTCCCCATAGTTTATGACGACTTAAACAAATGGTACCTAGCATTGGAAAGTCCTTGGGAGATACTTGTTTTGAAAATGGATTACAATGTGCCATCTCAATGTGGACCTGTACCAATTCAATCATTTGGACCGTAACTGAGGAAGAGGATAGGCGGCGATCCAGTTCTCGCCTGTCACTGGGTATGTGCACGAACCTATGCAGCTGCTGGACTATTGGAACAATGTCGGCTATCATGACTCTACCAAACCCACTCTAGCTATACTGGCTTACTGTTGCAGCTTGTTATCAAGGGCAGGCGACATTTTGGTCACGCGAATGCAGTGATGGATTTTCCTTTGAAACTAACGCTGTCGCAATAGCCGTGATTTTCCATTCCCTTGAGAGACACAAATGTACATGCTGTCTTGAGGCTGGCGACTATCTAGTCAACAAGTGCGTACATTGATTTGCGCAGTCTGACATGTTTAACGGGAGTGTGCGTTAGATGCAGTGCGCCTTAACTCATTCAGCTACAACAACCAAGCGCAACTCGTCCGGTTTCCAATTATCCACTAGCACGTGAACCTCAACAATCTTATCGCTGAATCTGTTGGAATCGGGGGTCGTGCAGTTAATGTGTTATAGCTGTATATTCAAAAGCAGTTGACTGTGGCCCCACGTGATCTTTCCTGGTAACTCAATGTTAATGATGTTTTTACAAAGGTGAGGAGGCTTTCGTTCTACGCCTTTCGTTTGCCATTTTCCTCTGTCCCCCGACACTTAATTCTGAGATTTGTCACCACATGTGTCTTACCCCTTTGGACCTATTGCTCCACTGTGATATTTCCTTTTTTTCTTAAGAAAGCACATCAAAATCCTAGGTTGGTCACTGCCGTAAATATCTCGGTGTAGTGGAATTCCCAAGCCGACCTTTGTTGAGATTCTTGTGTCCACTCACGCCAATTCATGCATAAGGCTTGTTTCGAGAATACTTACTGGTGCGTCACCTACTTTATGGCGCACCGCCTGAGTGTCTCAACATCCGCAACCAGACAAAAGTGTAGATTCCTTTTGTTGTTCCACATCTGGCACGTTTTTTGTGCAACCAGACAACAGTTGTCCTAGAGCTTACAAACAGCTTTGCATCATAACCATACTACTGTTTATGCCACTTATTACTCTACTCGTGTACTTATTGCTTTATTTATTTTACTATACTGAAAGTCGAACCCCGGCCCAACGAATTTCCGGTCCACTGCTCTACCACTGAGCTACCGAGGGCTGACGATTAGGTGCGCAAGTTTTAATACATGACTTCTGCTTGGTGCGCGACGTATTGCCAATGGGCTCACAGTACCTGTCCTGGTGTTGCAGATTGGCTCACTCACCCGTCACTTCCCAATGGGCCGAAGTATCTGTCCTTCTAATGTCCAAAGGGCGATGGCAATACGTCGCGCACCAAGCAGAAGTCATGTATTATTAATCTACCATCGCCCTTTGGACATTAGAAGGACAGATACTTCGGCCCATTGAGCCAATCTGCAACACCAGGATAGATACGGTGAGCTCGTTGGCAATACGTCGCGCACCAAGCAGAAGTCATGTATTAAAACTTGCGCACCTAATCGTCAGCCCTCGGTAGCTCAGTGGTAGAGCAGCGGACCGGAAATTCCTTGGGCCGGGGTTCGACTCCCCGTCGAGGCACATTATTGTGTGTGAATTTTAATCGTGACTTCTACTTTCTACGAACTTTACCCTACTCACAAACATCTACAACTAATATACTGAAAGTGTGTATGTAACAGCTGAATATGCCCCCTTATGAATGCATAAAGCACTTTCTTGAATTGAAGATTGAATGCAACATAACTTTTTTGATGTGCTTCCTAGGAATTTGGCTGGTGGCCTCTGTTCGCGGGAAATATCCCTTCCTACTTTTATCTCACTAGTATTGGTGACATCTATTTCTAAACTTTCACGCATGCGGTGCAGATTGTGGCTATTCATTAAGATAGAATAAGCATTGCACACACGCTTTGTGATTAACAGGGGCATAAGTGGTCAAAATTTCTCAAATCATTTGCAAAACTACGTTGGAATCTGATCACTACATGCGTGATGTTACAAACTCACAAGCACAACCGATTGGGGTGGATAAATCGGCAATTGGATATATTAAGCGCAATGTGCCACTAGACGGTCGCTAACAAGGCTGCGTACTGAACTCTTTAGCTTGGAATGAACGCCATCGTTCGTTCTGCAGATCTTCGCTGGGTTGTTTTTGTGCCTTCCATAATTGGAACACTTCCATCGTTGTGTTTTTGCTTCATCTCAGGCCTTCAGCGTATTGTGCCAATCGAAATGCGCGGCCACTTGCTCTGGCAGAAGACGGATGAAATTTACATCAACGTATCTGTTCGGCAGAATCTCGGTGCAGTGTTGTGTGGGGACAATGAGGGTTCTATTTGGATCTACGATTTGGATCCCTTCTTGGACGATCTTCATGCATCGAGCCGCAAAAATTTTCACGTCAAACCCATCAAGGTTCGCTTTTGGTCATAGTATTGGCTTTTTCATTACTAATTCCTCACCCGGTAGTCCTTTAATCTTGTTCTTTCTGTTAGTAGCTCTTCAAATAGGGAACCGGCAGTGGGCTTCAGTCACAATCCATCAACTATATGGTGACTGGTCACTAGACTGACGACATATCCTTGTGCTTTGCTGACCACACTATATGATATGGCTCACAAGCACCGGTATTGGTGTACGAATTATTTCAATCGCTCAAGTCTGCCAGAGACAAGTAAACGCGCGAAGGTCATGGCACGCGAATCGAAAAGAGCACTTGCTCATCAATCACGCACCGGCGACCTAATCAGTGAGATTGCCCTCTACACAGTATGGACTAAGGATGTCATCTCACTTGGTGGTGAAATGTTTGCAACCTAGCTCGTTGAGCGACTAATCAATGCACTGTGATTCAAGGCAGCAAAATCCCTACGGAGCTATCTCGCTGTTGTCGTTCCGTATTCATACAACTGGCGATTGTGCGGTTCTGGTGCTTAGGGTGCTTAAGCTTTATAAAAGCCTTTTCTGTTTGTTTACTATTCATCGTTCACGAGGGCTGTCTACCAACACGTCGCTGCTGCTTTTTTGCTGTTTGTTGTTAATGTTATTTTGCTGCTGCTGCTGCTGATGATGATGATGATGATGATGATGATGATGATGATGATGTCTGGGCACAAGCACCGTAAGCCGGCAACCGAATTCGGTCATAATATTACATGTGCTTTGTGCCAATATGTTGCCCTAGCTTTTGAACTATAACTTTTCTACCGCGCGTCTGATTCTACATTCTTTCTGTTTCACTGCCATGGATGATTACAAATAAATAAATAAATCTTTTATTCTCAACATGGTGAGACACGCCTTTACAGGCATGATCATTTTGACATAACGATGCATGCTCAAGAATGTGCAAACATCCGATATGTTTGCCATAGCAGTTTGTGTTTGTGTAGGGGGTATGTATGTATGTCATTGTGTGTGTATGTGTATGTAGCTGTGTATTTTGTGCTTGTAGTTGTGCTGCTCCAATCTTCAATGTTTGATACCGTCATCAATATGCGAATAGGAGATTGGTGTCCGTGGGTTGGATAGAATTATCCGGATATCCACGGGACAGTGACTTTATTTTGTGGCGAGTCACGACCGCCACGTCACAGTGTTGTTAAGCAGACATTTTTGGCTTTTTATAGGGAGAACGCTTGCCAGGCGAAACCCACCACGTCCTGGAACACTGCCGCCGAACTATTTGCTGAAACGGGTTAAACCCGAACTATCCAGCTGACACCACGAGGAGGTTGTTTGGCTAGCCAGCCGATGGTGACGGTGATCTATTTTCTAGTTATAATAACTCGTCACTGACACGATTTGCTACTAGTCCTGCACTCATTTCCTCGCTACCCATCTAGCCAAATTCTTTTGGATGGATTCTCTTCAGCCGCCGCTGTTAACGTTCGATCTACTGGAATTTCTCTGTGACATTGTAATTGTTGCGCACTGTCGGTTTCACTTTGGACCGATCGATTGGCGGTTTCCCGACCCTATGCTCTCATGGTTATTTGCTTGCACCATTGATCTACATCCTTATAACAACTGATTGGTCATCCTCCCACCGATTCACGTGTTCGATCCCATCTCAAATATTTGCCCTCTCTTATCTCTCCCCACTCCATTCTGTTCAAGTCTAAGCTTGTCTTCATAGCAACAATCCCATCCCATGGAGAAAATACCTGCCTTCAATTCCGCTCCGATAACTTGTTCTTTTCTTTACTAGTCTATTGACTACGATCCCCGTTCGTGTGTCAGCTAGTTTGTTCACTTGTCTCGACTTCATGCGGTGGGTCCACCTGTTTGTCACCAACGGAGACTACCGTTTCCTCCCGATCTTTTTGCGACGATTCTGTAAGCATGCCGATTGTTCAAATAGCTTCCTGGCTAACTCCTCTTACTTTCATGTCGCCTTAATTTTATCTTCTCACTCGGTACTCACTCGAGCCGCCTCTATTAACCTCTGCTCATAGGAAATTCCCGGCCACGTGCTCCCTTCTTTTTTCACAGATTCTCGAATGGCCTGAGTGCTCTGTCCAAGGAAATCGAGACGAAGATCAACAACTGAAGGAAAGCATCACCTCCGGATTTCGCAACCCAGTGGTCAATTCGGTGGAGATGAGCTCCGATGGCTACTACCTGGCCGCTGTAACAGATAACAATTTGGTTTGTATTTGGCGTTACGCTCCGCCACAACCGTACCTCCAGGTGCCAGTCCAAATGGTTCCACAATCGCAGCAACAGCATGGCCTGCAGAACGCAGCCGTTCGTCTCGTAAGCACCACCGCCACCACTACCACAGCTGCAGCGGCTGCGATGGCGAACGGCACCAGTACTACCATCATTTCGGACACTTGTCTAGATTCCGTGCTCGGTGTATTGCCAGGTGCCTCAATGGCCTCGCATGATATGGACCCAAACACACTGTAACATTTACGCGCCACAGGACAACTTATTAGTTGGCCGCGCCCCGTCTCACATCCCCTTCCCAACTGGGCGTATAGTATTTCAATCGATTTTATTCTCTGTACAGCTCTTTACACCGGTAAATATTTTCATTCGTTTTTCAGATGCACTTCGTCCACCTCATCATCTCGCTCTATACTCCCCAACTCCCTTCAGTTTACTCCGATTTTTTCTGCAATCGTGTTTCCCACTCATTTCGTAATCTGTGTCTACTACGTTTGATGTTTTCTGCCTCTGCATATACCTTGTTGGTGATGTCTGCTCACTTCTCTCTCGTGGCATCCCGCTGTTGTTTGCTCTACACATTAGGTATATTCCATCCATTCATCAGTTTGTGGTAATCTTTCGTTGGTCTTTACATCTTTGTCTTCTCTTGGCCCCTTGCCGGATCTACTAACAACATACTAATGCTCCATGCCGATACTTTGCTACCATGTAATCGCGAGAGGTTGTACGCTGGCTAGGATACTGCCAGAATCAGGAACTGGTAAACAGTATTCGCCTTATCAGCTTATATGCCACCGCATTTTGTAGCTGTTTGCAAACGCGATCGTTACTCTGGCGGCCATTCCTGTCATCTACACGTTCATAACATGCATGCTAGTGAAGGATGAGCCGCGTTATGCCGCAGTCAGAGATCACTAATGGCGGTCCACAACCATCACCCATGGCTCAGTGGCATCAGTCACTGACTCGTAAGAGTAAGGTCGTCGGTTCGAATCCTGCGGATGCGCACTACCGACGACCGTCTAGCGCTTTCCTAGATGTGTGATGGCTGTCTGCCTGAGTCTAGCTGCGACGAATCTTTCAAAAAACTTCGAATCCCTCTACTACTTGTTGATATGGATTCCAGAGTTGAGTGGACTTTTTCATCATGCCCCACCTGTAGCATACTAGGGGATTCAGCTAAATTGCACAGTTGTTATTACAAGATGTTATCAAAGGCCGCCCCCTCTCGGCTCTGCTTGTTTACCCGAGACATATATTCATTGGGTATTGCTTCCTGTGGGACATTTGTTGTATCGGATGTCATGGTCGAACTAGAATGCAGTGTGCAGCCAATGTATTAGGTATATGGTTACTAGTCCACCTCGATTGACTGCCGATTAGATCGGGTTTTTTTTCAGTATTCCTTGCTCCAAACACGATGCTGCGGTTTGGTCCTCGCTTGGACTCTTCAGGTAGATAACCGAAGCTAGCAATAGAATCCTTCGCATAGTGGCTGATGGTTTACGCCATGGGGACTAAGCCATTGAGCTCCGCGAGCAATGCTTGGCGCAGCAGTTTAAATTTCCTTGATAAGTCTTAGAGTACTCATCATGTGCCTGGATTACGAACACGCAATCTTCATTGAGGAGACGGTTCACTTTGAAGCGGATCTCTGCTATTTCTATCACTGCGACCGCATCCGAAGTAGAGACTTTCGTCCTGACTTGGACTCGCCAGGTATGGATTATCGGAGCTGAGAATGGAACCCGACGTATAGTGGTTGACCGCTTACACGTTGTTCACCGAGCCATTGGGCTCTGCTTGCAGCACGTCGCATAGCGGTTATTAGTTCATTATCGGGTTTTCCGTGTTGTGGTTACGACATGCACCATCCCACTTGAGATCATAGCCTACTTTTAATTAAATCTTGGTCCTTTCGCTGTCAACACCACTGGCTGACTGATTTCATCCTTGTTAGTTTTCTTTGGGTCCAATCGTTCGGAACTACGAGTGGAAACCAGAATGCAGCATTAGCGGTTTTAGTTATACGCGCAGCCACTTCACATACCTGAAAACGCACCACTTGTGTTATTGTCCATAGTGGTAATTGTCGACGATTCGCACGTAGTTCACAGCACTTTAATAGCTAATCATAAACTGGTCTGGTGTCCAATACACCTCTTCCTGGGCCGATTTTGACCTATGATTTTCAAACGAATTCTGTTCTGTCTATCCAGTTCACCGTAATCTTTTCAAGCCATCTTGTCTCGCTTCTTCATACGAATACTAATTAACGATGCACGGAAACATGGACGAACACAGATTCTTTTGTCGGAAAATGTCTACATACCTTCTACTGGTTGAATCGAGTAGTTTACAACTGAAAACTGGCTACTCTTATTGTTACTCTGTTTTCACTCATCCAACCGGACAGATCTAACCGACCCGATCCAGCCCTTAGATTGGGTCCTTCACGTTGCTCCGCAACATCCTTTGGTCGCTACGGGGTTACATCCAAATAGCTTCTGTATCGAAGGCCAACGTGTGCCTATATGTGAACGTTTTGCAGATACGTTTTTTAATTACTGGTGGATTTTGTGAGTAGTGTAATTTTCTTAGAAAGTAAAAGCCACAAACTTTGCATAATAATCTGCCTCGACGGTGAATCGGACCCCAGGCCCATGGATTAATTTTGAACCGCCGGGGGAAAGCTACATTTTGCTGAGACAACCTGGATACGCTTCATTTCGATTCTTCTGGTCTAACCGCTCGGTAATATTCAGAGGCATAATTAAACGAATGGAGGACATGGCTACGGAAGCAACCAGGGTGCTCATCGCCATCACGAAATGAACCTATACCCTAGCGAGACAAGGGGAGGTTTGCAATGGGCTGCAGTTATTTGCACAGATTTGGCTTCAACAAAATTGTTAATTGGATCGTTACTTGCGCCGAATGCTTCATGAGCATTTTGTCACATCGCATGATCGAGCACATGTGGAGCGTCTGAACTAGACTAGGGCGTAGGGCGACACAGTGCTGAGCCCCAGCTGAATATGCTCCGTTCTAATATCTCATCCATTTTGTACTTTTATGGCTATCGTCAAACCTTGCTCCGCACATGCACTGCGCGGAAACCAACTTTGTAAGAAACCCATCAGTGGCATGTCACTTCAGATGTGTAGGTGACTTATTCCTGAAGGTCTGTTCGTCCATGTGCGCCCTTCAAACATTACCGGCCGCGTCAGGGTCTACGGTGACTTATCTGATATCTTTCCGACAACAGGTGGCGTTTGTCAGGAGTGTCCAATTTCCCCATTTTTGTTTGGCTTCGTCGTGGACTGCATCATGGAGTAACCCCTTGCGAGGCCTCACGATGTAGTCGTTGAGGTGCTGCCTGGTGAAAAACTAGTTGATGTTGATTATGCGGCAATAGGTATGGTATCAGCAGTACGCCGGTACGCAGTACCGACGCTTAGCTACCGCGCAAACACCAGCAGCCCCTCGTGGGGTAAGGATACTGCGACCGTCTGCCGGTCCTTACGCAGACTCGAACGTTCGCTCTCAAATTACAAGACAGGATTGTGATCCTTAAGGCTACGGACCGGCTTGGTTATGCCTTGCTGTTTAACGATGTTATGGCGACACATTTACTATTGAATAACCTCTCTAGAGTGATCCCATTATTTGGCATACGCTTCTCACATTCGAAGTAAAGTGTTGCTATAGGACCACCACCCACTTGACTCACGATATCGAGGAACTCGAGGTAGTTGATTGCCTCTCTTACTTTGGCAGCTGCATCAGCGACGATGGGCGCATGACCACTGAAGTCCTTTCACATGTTGCAAAAATTGAGACTACTTTCTTGAATCTGCGACATTTTTGGCGACAGAAAGCAGTTTCCCTCCGTCTGAAAGGCCGTGTTTAGAAGGCAACAGTGAGGGCCGTCCTACTCCATGGGAGTGAAACTTGGTCCCTTTGGTCTGAACATCTGAGGCGCATTCAGCTCTTTGACCATCGCTGTCTGCTTTGCATTGTGATGATATGTGTAAGCGAGTACTGGGCAGTGACAATTAAGCTATTTCCTTGAAACAACAGATAGCACAGAATAAGTTGCGTTGGTTTGGGCACGTACTACGTATGCCCAGTCACCGTTTTTTTGGGAGGGCCTTGTTTTGTCTGCCAAATGTAGGTTAGCGCAAGGCTCGAGGTGGACAAAAGTTGACTCGGTAGCGGAAAATGAAGTCACTGAGGACCAAACTCGGTGCCGTCGGTCCGTCTCGCCTTTCAGGCTGGAGTCCACCTGACTCGCCCTGTGCTTGGCCAGAAACTTTACTAGACATGTCTCGCAGTCGATACCAGTAGCGCGTCTATTAGTCGGACTGCCTGTTTAAAGTGTGTTTGGTGTTGAGTTATCTACGGGGTAATGGCTGATTAGGATGCATGACAGTGAAAGCCGCAAGGAAGCTGTCTCGCCGATACCGCCTTATGTTTGCACGATAACCAGCTGTTTGTGATGGTATGTTGTTGACACAGGTGTACACGTCTTGACCTTGAATGTTTGCTTGGGATATTAATGTTTTACGCTAGGTCCCCTTTCTCTCATTGTTATTATTCTTCGTTCCGCAGGTCACCATGGTTGTACGGCAACAATGCATCAGTTCAAATGGCTGATATACTGTTGTCGCTGCTGCTGCCGTTGTTGCATACTTCGCCTGTTCCTGTTGTTAACCTGTTTTCCTCTTTTGAGTCCTGTACTACTACTACCATTTTTAAAACCATTTTCAGCCTTCTTTCATTGACCGATATACACGCGATGGACAACGGAGTTTCCATCCTACAATCCAGCTCGGCTGATCACCCGGACGGTTCGAGTGCGTTTGCATCGTCAGCTGCAATCGCACATTCGTGGGATGACGAACAGAAGAAGCGCACCACCGATGTTACCGCACCCATCTCCCTTGATTCTAGTCTGGACCATTTGACTGATATGCGGTTTGCGGATCTCCAAATCTCTCCCGCCGTCTTGAAGGGGTTGGCTGATGCTGGGTTTTCTCGTCCATCTCCGGTGCAGTTGAAGGCCATTCCGCTCGGACGATTGGGATTAGATCTGATTGTTCAGGTACAGTATGCAACAGCGATCGTTTCCAAGTATGGTCGAGTGACACCCTTTACTTCCCCAAGTGGCGCAGCGTTTTCATCTTTTGCCTTGTCACGGGTGCCTAATGAACCGTGACCTCAACTGACCAATGATTGTATAAGTACGGCAAGATTTGTGCATCATTTTCGCTCGGACACATTGCCGTGCATAATGCTCACGACTACGATGACACGGCGATGCTATGTGATTAAATGCGATCAAATAAAACGGTCAACGTTGCGTCGCGTCATCATGTAGGAGTTGAACGTTCGTTCACTACACTGGATGTGTTGATTACACGCGCACCAGTGAACCCACAGCGCGTTTCTCCGAATGAGCCCTCGAGGGCTACAAGTGTGATTTATCGATTACCCAGTTGACGTGCTTTCTGAACATAATTGGAGAATTTTCTGAAGGGTCATGTTGAAACCGCTATTCACTTCGGAGTTAACCTCAGCTATTTCAGTCACTACTGCTGTATCTAAGGCCGCTAAATATGATTGTCCACCACCTTTAACACCACTCCACTATTGGTTTCGTAAAGGTTTCAGTTAACAGCTTCAATGTACCGGGTTCGAGTCGCCATCTTGTTATGCCTATCCGAAGAATGCAACCAAGTAGGAAATCCATCGTGACATGCAGTGATGCAACCGGGATACACTTAGCATTCCATCTATCCTCGGGGTTCTGAAACCATCTTGTCCAATCTTACTAATGATTAGTGGGGATTTTTGTATAATAGCTAATTCATCATCATCACTCCCAATCAGCAGGCTTAGGCTAGTTTGGAAAAGCACCAGACGCCAGCGTTTCGACCTTCTGGGTCACGTCAGTGGTGCGCCTCCAAGCGGACAGCTACCGGGTTCCGCCCCCATGACTTCAGGATGCGAGCAGCTAGTGCCACTTCGCCATAGGTGACAGCCGCGGACCTGCATGATTGACACTTGACTATGATATAGCCCGGCTCATCTTTTACTGCCGTGCCAGTTACGAACTGTGCAGACGACAGCAGAACAGCATCCGGAAGTCATGGGGGTGGATCTCGGCAGGGGTCCGTTTGATGGCGCACTACTGATGAGACCCAGAAAATCGAAGCACTGGGGTCTGGTGCTGTTCCAGACTTACCAAAGCCTGCCGACTGAGTGTGGACCATGTTGAATTCTCTGCATCTCGTCTAATAGTTTAAACCTTTTATTGTTAATTATTACATTTAGATTACAATCCGGATAAGCCAACTGCCCATCCGAAAGAGCACCAGACGGCCGTTTCCTCCGCTTGGAACTCGTCCTTGTTGTGCATCCTCTCAGGCCCCTTTATGGTACCGAATCCATGACCACTATTGGCTTGCGCCACTAACCCGCAACTTATGCCATCGAACCGTGGGGGACTATAGCTGGCCTTCATGGATTGAAATCTAACAGCGATATAGCTTTACCCATGCCCCACTGCACTTAGATTTGAATCTATGATGACCATCTATCATCCCACGTGGGTCAGTGGTATAAGCTACTGGCTAGTGGTGCAAGCCAATGGCGGTCATAAATTTGTTTCCCTGAAGAGGTCTGAGAGAATGCGCTCCACCGAGGAGCCCCAATATGGCGGATTGATCGTCTGGTGTACTTCCGGCTTAGTAGTTAACCTTTGTGGCTTGTAATGATTCCAATGAAACAAATCTTGCCAACTCCATCTACTCATAAGAAATGAACAATGGACGTGTGAAGGTATATGAGTGGCGGAAGCAAACTTAGTTGTGTGCGGCTTAGCAGATGAACGACCCTCGGTTTCACATTGGGCGCGGCACTCCCGGTTGGCGAGGCTGAATTAAGGAGCTCTCTTTAAGTGTACCATTGCGCTTCGACTTATTAGCCTACCCACAAGGCAGCGAGGTGGAAGACTTCATTGAATCGCGTCAATTAATACGCTCAACCCTCCCCATGATGTCAGCCGGCCGGTATCCTAAAAGTAATAACCTTGTTTTGTAATTTGACGGCGCAGGGCGGAGCCCGGGCGACCCTCGCAATATCCTTAGCCCGCGTGCGACCGGCGGCAGTTGCGTGATAGCGAAGCATCGGTACTGCTTACTGACGTGCTGCTGCTGCTTTTCTTTCTTTGTTGCACACATTTGCTTTATTACAATGTTCGGTCTAGGTTAGTTTACCTAATGGTGAGTCGCATTTGCCACGTCACAGTGTCGCTAAACTGCTATTGGCTTTTTATGGGTAGGTCGCTTGTCAGGCGAAAACTCACCACCTTATGGAACACTGTCGTCGAACACTGCTGGAACTGAATATTTCCTAACAATCCATTGAGGACAAAACGGTCGTCTGTTTCTTTCCTGGATTTGTATTTGTCCTATCCGGCTTGTAACATAGTTACGATGAACAAGATAAATCTCACCAAATTCCTCTACTCATGAGTAATAACTTAAAAAGCTGACCTTGCCATTTTACGAAACTCACAGCGTGGTACCACCAGAAATATCCGCGTAGGGGTGGGCGTCCTCGCGGTATACTCAGCCCGCGCGCGACTGGTAGTGGTCGCGCGGCAGCGAAGCGCCGTTACGGCGTACAGCTGACACATTATTTTTATTATTATTATTTTACCACCAGAAATGTCCACAGCTCCATCCTAAAACACCTAGTAGATAGTGGACATAACATACAAACGAAAGAAGCCTTCAAAATATTGTATGTAACAGCAAAACGCGACACAAAAGGACTCAGGAAGCGCCTACTGGCCACAGCAGAAGCAATTGCGATCAAGCAACTGAAGCCGGAACTGTTAAACATCGTGCACTTATGCAGTTTAACCCTACCGTGGTCCTAGCCTAGTCACCTGACTTCTGGCATAGTGGTCAATGGTAGATTGCCACCGTTCATCCGATCGCAGCATCCACGACTTTGTGTCGCATCGCTAGCAATAGCCACTGCAAACATGATTACGAAGCTCATAATTGTAATTGCCTGAAGAGATTTGTCGAAAAGAAATTTCTTCTCAACTTCCTTATGACATTAAAATGGGCATAATTAATGAATCCACAAATTGTTATAACGGCGGTTGATGGGTGTAGAACCGTCCAAACAAAGACTTCACCGTGCCGGTTAGTGTATTTCCCAAATTTCCATTCACATCATGCAGGCAAGGCAGCCAATAATATGGTGAGCGGGTGTCCAATGTTCGGTCGTCTCATACACATGAACCACAATCGATTAGCGGCTGGGAGTGAAGCTCATTACCGGGGCCATGAGTGACCTTAGGCTTTTAAAGCACTGGATCACCGTGTGTAACACCTCTTTCGAAACCCTACGCTTTTCTGGCTCATTGGAATGAATTACCGGATTCACCTGTACACGTTGGATCGGTTGAGTTGTGCGCATGGATCCCCGTACGACTCCATGACATGGCTTTGCACGCGCTCCCGTCGGCTCACTGAGCTCCACAGTATTTGGTACTTTAATCGTTTCCAGCAATATATCAAACGATAACTCTGAACTGGAAGCGATGGCGTGTTCGATCCGTCGTTTGCGTAACTGATTATAGTGCCGAACGAAAAACAGCTCGTCCAGCACAGTACCTTTTTCTTTTTCGTATAACTTCTGGTTGCCAGGTTTGGTGTTGGGATTGTGTATCCAACGCCTACACCGGCTTCTCTAGAAGAAAACTCCTGCTAATGCTTGACGCTATTGGCCTTTGCTTCACTTTCGGGTATAGTGCATCATTTGGTAGACGTATTTCGCGTCTGAACATGGCTTCCACAAGGGAGCTGGGGTCTTGTGCAACTAGGTTGGGCGTAACCCGACCACTTATCCGAATCAGCTGTATGATCTCCTCTGTCGATGCTTTCCCTCGCAGTTTTAGTACTGAACGTTTGAAGGTGTCGACGAAGCATTCTGCTTACCCGTTGCCCTGGGGATGCAGCGGAATCGACCGGCAATGGTTGATGTCATTAGGCTGACAGGAAGCGTTTAATTCATCGGTAACAAATTATGGTCCGTTGTCAAACCGCCTCGCATATTCGGCAGCCTCATACACATAAACCACAATAGGGTAGTGGGTGAAAGTGGAGTTCGTGATTAGAGCTGTGAATGGTGTACTTTAAATGCAACTGGATCACCGTGCTTAACACAAATGTGTGTGTTGAGCACTGCATGTTTTGAGACAAAAAGTACCTGGCCACCCGTATGGCCGACGAGCTAATTCTGGATTGATCGCATACAACAGGAGGTAAAAAGCAATTACAGCTGTTCACAGTTGATCAATATGAATAAGACACTTCTGACCATACAGCTTAGCCTGGTGGTGAAATGTTTGCAGTTGAGACATCCGGATTGGATTACAATACAAAGCGTTCATCCACATCTCGAGCTACGGGTACTATCAATTACTGCCAAAAGGCACCACCTCATAACATTTTGCAACTTTAAGAATGAGACCTGGGTACTGATTATCTCAATAGCTAGTCCATATTGAAGCACTTAAGATACGTGGTTTGAGGGTTAACACACCTCAATGACCGATTGAGTGACGCTTAGTGGCACTTCGCAAATGCGTTCAGGGCCGCTTTCTACAGACAAACCAATGTTTAGAGATTAGATAAACTCGGCATCCTTGTTTGTAGGTTGGGGACATATCGGTAGGCCTCTCCCTTCAAAAATTAGACAATAGCGATGACAGATTATGATTTATAACCTCACAGCTCGCTTGGCGTTGTGTACGGGTGCTACACCTTGTCTCTAGCGATTGGAAAGTACCACAAGGTTCTAATGCTTTGCTACCTCCTGTCTTAAACTAGACAGCCTCTGGTCACATTGATGCTAACCCGCCAATTCTCCCTACGGCTGGCCATGATCACAAGTACACAACAAATTACGGTCGAAAAACACATGCGAATTGTTATGAATATTCGGAGACTGTGTATGACATTGGAACACTACAATGACATTCCGGAACTGGATTTGATCCCAGATGTCTTATTAGTCAAGCCGTTGTATCAAAACCTATGGATGAAGTCCCTCAGACAGCCTCTTTACATACCACTGCCTTGTGGATCGGATTGTTGAGCTAAAAGCTCTCAGGATTTGCAGCCGGAAGTGGATACTTTATTCTCCCGGTTTTTTAGTCAAGCCAGGGCGTGTCTATTTCCACTTCCCCCTAAGCATCACCGAATTTATGCGGATGACTAGGATTTCTTCGGGCTTAAGCAGCCCCCCTCATGGAGTGTTCCACCTGGTCAAACAGTCTGGAGCTACCACTAACAGGAAGCTATTGTGAGCAGCCGTAACCTCACTACTATCTGTTCTTCCTTTCATTTCAAAGCGGTTCCCATGACAAAGGTGAATAGGTAGTGTGACACAGCCCGAGACTCCCATCACACTATCGGCAGGGTTTCGGTCAGTCTGAACTCGCCATACCTCCTGATACTACTTGTTATTTGCTATTAAAATGTCGTGCATAGGCGCATCTACTTCTCTGAAATTAGTGTTTTTCTGATCTTTTCGGTGCACAACCCTGTTGGCTTGTAGTGTGACGCAACCTCTACTCCTCTACGAAGCCAACTTTTCGTATTTTCCCAATAGTTCCCATATGCAGATCTGGAAAGACTATCGTTCAGAAGTACAGCGAGAGCAAGCAAAGTTCAAGACAAGTTTACGCATGTACAACATTTGTCTTTGCTCTCCATATTATTACCCTCTTCGTACTGAAGTCGAATGCCGGTGGCTTTTTAATCTGTGCCCTGTTAAACCTGCCTGTGTTGGCAATCAAAACGCCAATATCTACCGACTGACTACTGTTACTAGTCGTAGCCAAACCATTGCGCAAGCTACCATTTTCCCCGCTTTTATATCGATCGGTTTTCACATCCTTCCCTCTTCCAGGCCAAATCCGGGACTGGAAAGACCGTCGTGTTCGTGGTGGTCTTACTAGATGCTGTCGATCCACAACGGCCGGCTTTGCAAGCTCTGGTGCTCTCTCCAACCCGTGAAATCGCTCTACAATCACAAATCGTGATTCAGCGCCTGAGTGCCCATCTGCCCGGCTTAAAGTGTCAGCTGTTCGTTGGGGGTGAGTTTTATTTTTTTACACCGACGGTTGTCTGTGTTTGGGGAGTTTGTGCGTACTTGTCATTTTTCACACACTCGGTATCAAACGCACGCACACTTCATGATTACTGCCTATGCACATATAATCGCAACTTTTGAACACGTTAACCGGGATAACTTCGCGTTGCTGCTCAATCCCGATGTTGTGAAGCATCTACCTGCCAAACATTGCTCGCGGATCTCGGGAACCTAAGGATCAAGGCGCTAGGCATCAATCAGTCTCAATCCCACCTGCGATTGTCTGTACTGGATGCGTCCAAAGGATGACGAAACCGGTCATGTAGTGTCGGTGCTGCGTGGACCATTACGGAAACCCCTACACTTCAGCCATGGTCCTGGTGATCGGAATGACCGAATTCTACTTCCGTGTACGGATGTCTCATTAGAAATTGCACGTTACAATCCAATCACATGGCAGGTACTCCCAATTTATCTTTCAATCCCTAACCACGGTACCGAGCGCTACTCACGGATCTTATTGTCTTAATGTTCAAAGCCGTCGACCGTGAACCACTTGACCCCGAATTCCCCCCCCCCCAGCTCAGGCCATCTCCATCTGATGCGTCCAAAGGAGGACGAAACCGGTTATGGGGTGTCAAGTTTGGGAGGAGCAACGCCAAACCACCAATTCGTATACGGTCCTTGTGCTCGTAATGATCGATGTCTACTTCAAAGTGAACCGAGGTCTGAACAGAGATTGCCAGTAACAATCCAATCACACAGCGCGTTCACTAAATGCAACTTTGAATACCTTACCGGTGTGCCAGACGTTGCTCACAGCTTTTAGGGTCATAGTGATCAAGGCTTCAACTTTTAAACCCTATGCCTCGAGATCCACTCCAGCTCAGGCTGTCTCCATTTGATGAGTCTAAACGAGGACGAAACCGCTTCTGGAGTGTCAGGGCTGGGAAGCGCAACGTCTAAGCACCTCTAATTCGGATACCGTCCTTGTGATCGAAAGAGGATCAAAGAGGACAGAGGTCTGAATAGAGATTGCGAGTAGCAATCCAACCACACAGCGGGTTCACTAAATGCAACTTTGAATACCTTACCGCTGTGCCAAGTGTTGCTCACGCATCTTAGAGCCATAGTGGTTATAGCGTCTGCCTTTAAACACTATGCGGAATCCGGTCGCTCTAGTGCATTGTTGTGAACAAGCAAAGATGGACTGAGTGAGTCAGCTAATTGCGAGATCTGTCGCAAACCCAAATTTTGTCTTCAAAAGTTGTCGCGCCCTTCATCAGTTGCGGTCGCCTAATACCGCCCATTGTAATGGAGTCTGCTGGCGTACCGTTCGAACTTGACTCAATTCATAGGTTTTCTTTCGGTCAATTTTCAGCCATTCTGGTTGTATCCGCTTTCGGATCGACCTGCATTGTGTGTCATCTGGTGCTTGCAGATTTTTTATGATCCACTTAGTCGCTCAGTTTCGTCTTCCAAACGAAACATGTCCGGCAGTGTGTCCCACGGTAGTCATGGCGTTTCTGTGGGGACTTTGAGTCTTGCCGTAATTCGGCCTCAGCTGGTTGGTGTGCCTGACTCATATCTCATTTCCTACCATTAGCTAGTAGATGATTCGACTATTTCTGCGGATCACTCTTCCGATCGACCACCTCCTCGGTCCTCGGGAATCTCTCGCGTACACCATGTCACCAATTTTGAAATGAGAAACCACGTCTGTCCGATTTTCATCCACATCACAACTGCCGTGCTATTCTTTCTTTGCGTTCAGCACAAGGCGTCTTGGTCTGAAAAGTGGTTTATCATCTTGCTTGAGGTTAAGGCCAGCACTGGACATTTTGCAGCATCCGAGACCAGGTTGGCGCATTACTTTGTGGCGTCTGTTCATTCGCGTAATCTGACTTTATACCATCGATGATTGCGACAGCTGGTTGACTTGCGGTGGCTGGCATACACTGTTTAATGGCTGATCAAGCACTTTTCACTCCTTCATCCAGTCGAGTCCCAGCAAATCTAACCCGGGTCGGTCTGTCACAAAGCACATTGTGTGGATTTGTTGATCCCTGAAATTGACTTGACAGTTCAATTCACCATGCAATCATAACATACCTCCTGAAGCATTCCTTGCCATCTGGGCCGTTTGTACGAGTGTCAGCCGCCCCAGCCTAAGCCACTTGTCACTAGAGAAGCCATTTCGTTATATATCATAACGCACAAGCGTGAAAGCCAACCCGAATACGGAAAGCGGGCGGATAAGTAAAGCTAATAAAGACTGAGCTAATAGGAAACCAATCAGGTACCCACAAAGAACGGAAAGTGAAACGGTTAGCGATAGAGTAGGGCTGCGATCTGAGGGCAAAGATAAAACCTACAAATAGCCAATTGGCTTAGCGAAATGATACATTAAAACAAACATCAGTGAGCCACCAGAACAAAACGAAAGTCTGCAGTCATGAATGGTTAAACAAGTATACCTGTATTTTTATTACTCATCTAACACCTTGAGTAATTGCTTCACATTTGCTTCACTTAGCTCTTCCAACGAAGCAATCTACCTGGGTCCACTTGAGTCCGCGACCATTGGGGTCCGGACTTCGGCTACGACAGCAGTGTCGTCAGTACCGGTAATTTGTTATCGCATGAGCATTTAGAACAGGTACGGCCAAGATTACAGACATTAACAATCGTTATGAAACTCGCGACTCAGTGGCTCCTTGTGCAAATTTAACATTGTGAACAAATCGGTTCCGAGCAGATTAACATCGGTACAGAATTTCGTGTAGATTTTTCCATAGAATTGCAAATCCTTGAGTCTGCGTTCAAAGGCGATTCTTCCTATAAGTTTCAGCGATTCTCCTGAGACATTTTGAACCGTTAGAATTATAAGTTTGACTGATGATGTGCCAAGTTTTGCCCAGGTCGATCGAGAAAGGGTCTTGATAGCATGCACTGTTTGTGGCCGCAGCCATACCGGAACATTATTGCGTTTCACTGTAGGGTATTTTCTCTTCCCTGAAAAGTCTGCGAAATATTGCAGAAGTTGCCTCCCCCGTTGCACCGCGCAATCTGTCTTTCGAATTTTGAGCTTCTTTGCAATTTTGAAGTATGCACGCATCTGAATTTGTGCGTCTTCTGACATTGTTGCAGAATACCACCGTTCCTAAACGTAATCGGTGGGTTCTGGTCCAGCACATCTGGATTCATATTTTAGCCATTAATAGTTGTCTGACAGAACTGGGGTTCATTTCTGGGGTCTGAAACATCAACAATTTTCGGATCATTGTCCTAACTAAGCATCCTAATGCATTCCGGTTCCGGTTCCCACTTCACTTAGATGTTCAGCTTTTTTGACAGCAATTCATTTAACTACCTCTGAGACTTTTCAAACTGAAGTTGCTGCTGCTGAAGGTGGGGCTGCACTTGCTCAAATGAAATATTCATGAATGTTCAACACCGCCACAAATGTTGTGTCGGAGCCCCGCGACTGCTTACACCCATTAACGGTAGTGAGGACACGAACGACCGGGGACAACGATTCAAGGGCTCCTTTACGTAGAGAAATCATTTCGTTATATAGCTTAACTCACAAACGTGAAAGCCAACCAGAATACGGAACGCGTATGGACAACTAAAGCCAATAAAGTGTGAGCGAATAAGAAACCAATCAGGTTCACACAACGAACGGAAAATGAGGCGACTCCAAGTAGCCAATAGGGATAGCGAAATGATAGGTTAAAACAAACATCGGTTAGCCACCAGAGCAAAACCGAAGTCTACAATCATGAACTGTTACACAAGCATACTTGCATTTTTATTGCTCCTCTAACACCATCTTCCTCCTCCTCCGCTTCCGTTCCTTTTCACGAGTACTGGTAATGGCCCGCTGTTCATCAGAAACAATATTTAGGCAAGCCGGATTATTTTTCAATCCTAGCTTACCGTTCCACATGATCTTTCATTGTTCGCACACTGTTCTAGGTCGGTTGGTTGGCGTCGGTTGCTACGACTCCGAAACCCTACTTGGCCCGGGATTCTATTTCATCTGCGCTTACTCGACTGGGCTTACGCACTTCGCATTTCTGGCGGTGCTAAACCAATGACTTGTTTGGTTTCACTTTTGCTCATTTGTCTCATTCCCTCTCGACCCCGTCCTCATCCTGCAAACAGTCGATGGGAACTTTTCATCAGCGGCTGGGCGTCTCACCACCTACGGCGCAAACACAAACTACTGGCGCCCTTGTGTTCGTTGTTTTATTTGACTACTCATGAGTAGGTTATTTTGATATAATTCTAACACATTAGCTTCTCACTCGACTAATTTATCCAACGATCCTGCTTTGCGTCCATTCTCTCCCATTATTTTCATACTTGTGTTCGTTGTTTGGCAGTGTGAATCATGGCAACTGGAACTACTGCGCTTCGGTGCACGTATCACCTTTGATCGGTCTGACAGTCAAACTTGTGCGTGAAATTAACAGGCGCTCGTAACGAGTCTGCGTGTCGGGTACACAAACATCCACCGACGCCCACATACCCTATCGCGAGTTTTCTTTCTCAGTACCTTTTTCACGGTCTTATGGTTTCACATCGACACCTTCGCAACTAGAGTCCTGCATATGCGTTTCGCCTCTCTTGCTCATGAACTTGTCCACGATGTACTTTCCGTCACCAGGACTGCCCATTGCGGACGATCTGCGACATCTTCATCAGTGCCACATAGCAGTCGGTACTCCCGGACGCATACGTTATCTAATCGAGACCGGCTACATGGCGGTTGACCAAGTTCGTCATTTGGTGCTAGACGAGGCCGACATCCTTTTGGCCGGAGGCGCCGAGGCATCCGTCACCGGTGGCAGTGCCAACAATGCGTTTCCAGCCGATGTGAATTACATTTGGTGGAGTCTACCTGAGAGTAAACAAGTCATGGCTTTCTCCGCCACGTATTCGGACTATTTGGCTGAGGCGCATCTGCAGCGCTACACCAACAACCCCGCTCTGATTCGGCTCAGTTCGCACGATCCGGCTTTATTGGGTACGCGCTTCGTTTCTTTTCCGTTTTACTGTACGCTGCTGTATTTCGGTTAGTCCTCGTCACAAGTCGTTTGACATTCTCAAAACATTGAAGAGCCAATGAAACAGACTCCATCTTTCCTTTTATGATTGATAGTTGTTTTGTACACAATTCTTCACGAGTGTGATTGGTGTTATCATATAGGTTACGGGGAGGTAGCGTTACTTACTCACGCACGTTTTCCTTTTAAAGGTCACACACTTCACTTGGTTTACTCGCTGTCAACAACTCTTTGTTTTGCCTCTTTCTTATTCGTCCACAGGCTGTTGGCATCCCATACGTCTGTTTTCTCGTCTTCTGGGGATTTCATATGCATGACTTTCGGAAAATGCTAATTGATCCCCCTTTTATTTCTAATCATCATTTTCTCTAGCACTCTGTCTCTCCTCTTTGTATGTAACAAAAGTAAAGATCAGAAATGATTATCGGGTTAAAAAATTTTCACACAAACTCTCATTAGACTCTCATTACATGTAAGAATCACATTGGTATTGGTAATCGATTTCTAAGTTTTTTGTACTGAATCATCCCGGAACCTCTATGTGTTTTTGACCACATCGACAAAGAGACGGTGTTAACCCCACTACTAAACATGTGATTCGTTCACAACCAGTTGGCGCCACTACATCGTACGACCTTAAGTTGCCAGAACGAGACGGTGTTGGTGGGTCTTACTGCTTCTCTACCAGAAACATTACACGAGTATCAGTACCTCCTGGTCACGGTTGACTACATCACTAAGTGGTGTGAGTCTGTTTCCATCGCGCAAGCTGATACAGTTACACTGGTAACGGCAATGTTGTATCACCGGGATAATTACACTCCGAGAGACTCATGAGAAGAGAACTGCTCAGTTTGCTTTGCGAATTACGCTCTTGTTATCATCTTAGTAACTTTCGAGTCAGAGATAATGCCATCCGATAAGGAAACTCGCCGAGACAGTTTCTTTGGGGCTTTCACTCCCTTAAGTCATCATCGTCACTCTTACACCACAGTTAATTCAGTACCGATGCAATTTAAACAACCTATCCAACTGGGTGACGACAACAAACCCGCCACTGTTCCTGGCTGCAATCCATGCCTCGAATAAAGCACAAAGCGGGTCACATGGACTCCAGGGTAGAAAGTGAGACGGGTCAACAACACCCACAGTTTGGTTGTCAGGACCTTCATTTCCCTGTACCAAGTCAAACTTTGTCCCCCACTCGATTACACAAAATCCAACACTAACAAGAAACATGTAATGTTTTTTACGACACAGACACCCATGAATACTTTGTGGTACAGATTTTGGGCCATCGGAATCATGACGGAATATGAAAACAACATCGGAATAAAGAAGGAAAATAACAGGCAATTTCTCACTCACAGTTTTAAGTTTTGTTTGTTTGTTCATTTAAAGGCGGGAAAGGGAATCACCGCAACACGCAGACACACGTCCGTCTTGGGTGAGTCGAGAATAACCGACCGAGGCCAACAGCATTTTCATGCTGCTTCTCCAAGTCATAGCCTGTCCAACACATCGCCTCCTCTAGCCCGGCCCCGCAACCGCGAACAATGCACGACGCGGATGGTGCTGAACAGGCATGCACAACACGTGACCAGGCCGCCACAATTTTCGCGACGAGGCAATGTCCTCCACGAGTTGCTGTCTCCCCCCTCCCAAGACGTGCTGCTTAACTATTGCATTGCTTACGTGGTGTAGCCACCAGACACGCTTAATGGCACCAAAGCAACTGTGCTCGAAGATAAAAAGCCGGCGCAGGTTAACGGTGTAAACAGGCCACTCCTCGAAAAGGTACAACGGTACAGAGCTGGCAGTCGCACAATCAACTCACCCTCTGAAAGTGAGACGGATTTCATGGCTGCGCCACTATACCATTTCCCACCTATGTTCGTGAATTGTTCAGTTAACTTCGTTTGATTACGAAGCAAAATCGTTTGTTACCCTCTCAAGTTCGAGACCTTGGCATCCACCGTGATTGCGCGCAGTCGTGTAGAGTGGCCTCATTGTTCGGCCTGCCTCAGTCGATTAGAAATGGGGGGTGAGTGATGTGAGAAACGTAGGCGTGTGGCCGGACTTTCTCACTCGCGAGGTGACGCGGTGACACGGTTAGTGTCTGAGGTGATCACCAACTGCTGGCTAGGATGTCATGGCCGATAGTCCGTCAACGAGTATGATGTAAATGGCCACGATCTAGGCGCTTGGCCGTGGGGGAACAAAAATGCGTTGTGCATAGAATGGCCGGGTCACGGTTGTCTGTGGTGTGACCGTGAAGCCGCATGTGAACCACTGCACATCACTAAGCTGACCGGTGCGCACTCACTCAGTGAATCACAGAGGAGTAGTAGGAAGAGTTGAATGGTATAGGTAGAAATTCGTCACATCGAGACTCACTCAGACAGCCGTCACACGCGTGTTTCACTGTTTCGGGAATCGTCAGCAGTGTGCATTCCATCGGACCGTGGTAGGGCTCGAACCCGTAACTCGACTGTTGCCAGTCCGTGAATCAGTGAATCCTTTATGTCTCGGCAGTGCGCGAGTCTGCTCGTGCCAAGTTACAGATCAAAAGATACACAGTTGTGTTTCACAAACGATATCTTTCAACATAAGTTTATTGAGAATTCACTCCAACATGCGCTGACTAATGGAAGTAGTTGAGCATACGCGGGAAAAGTGCTGAGGTTAGGGGTTCCTCATACTCACACAAGCGTATCTATAGATCTGTTTTCGTCACGTAGCAATCGTGATTATTGCACTTTGGTTCTTGTCTCATTGATGAATATAAGCATCTTCCAACGTGGAATGCGGTTACAATTTTCCAAGCGACAAATTTTGACAGATTCACTGGTTCATTGTGTTATTGCGTACTGGTCAGCTTCGTGATGTGCAGTGGTTCACATGTGGCTTCACGGTCACACCACAGACAACCGTGACCCGGCCATTCTATGCACAACGCATTTTTGTTCCCCTCGCAATAGTTACCACGGCCAAGCGCCTAGATCGTGGCCATTTACGTCATACTCGTTGACGGACTATCGGCCGTGACATCCTAGCCAACAGTTGGTGATCACCTCAGACACTAACCGTGTCACCGCGTCACCTCGCGAGTGAGAAAGTCCGGCCACACGCCTACGTTTCTCACATCACTCACCCCCATTTCCAATCGACTGAAGCCGGCTGAACAATGAGGCCACTATACGACTGCGCGCAATCACGGTCGATGCCAACGTCTCGGACTTGAGAGGGTGACAAGCGATTTTGCTTCGTGATCAAACGAAGTTAACTGAACAATTCACAAACATAGGTGGGAAATTATGTTGTGTCTCAGTCTGCAGAAAGCGAGACGAGCTCTTGAGATACTCATCGAAATCTCCTCTCCAACTACTCCAGCAGTGATGTAACTTCCTAGGTGGACGAAACTGTCCCCAACCTCCAGTGTCTCGCCATCGAGATTGAGGGGAGATGCAGACATCTGCCAGTTTTGTAAAAGTGCTTAAAACTTGGATGGGGAAATGTGCATGCCATACTCCAACAGTTCAATCGCCAGGCAAGTTGGACGGCCTGTGAACTGTCACCCAGTGCGGTTCGACATGGATGCCCTATCTCTCCATTCCTCTTCAACTTTCTCATTGAGGATGTCCTCAAAAATGCTCTAGAAGACTTACTGAACGCTGGCCTTGAGCTCCTTCTAGGTAGCCGGGCGATTGATTTGGATTACGCTGATTATGTCGTCCTGTGGGGTGACGGTCCGCAGGCCATCCAACTTGCACTTAACCGCCTGGCCATTGATGCGTCAAAGTATGTCATGCATTTTTCACTATCCAAGGGCAAAGCGTTTTTTCAAGACTGGTATAAGCCCCTATCTGCACTCATCATCGATGGGGAAACATTAGAAATTCTATAGTTTTGTCTATCTGGGGGCTGCATAACTGCTGGTGGGACTATTGGAAACGAGATTCCGATGCGCGTCTCAAGAGCTAATCTGGCTTTCTCTTGGCTAAGGCATTTATGCCGTTGCCATGACATTCGTCTCACCAGGAAAGGACGGGTTTATTGTGCTACCGTCCGCCTGTACTGTTGTACGGTTGCGAGAATTGGCCTGCTTGTACCGATGACCTGCGCCGACTGTCTGTCTTCGAGAACCGTTGCTTGCGGTGCATTGCCCGTGTGTGGTGTCTGAACCACGTAACCAATGCTGAAGTCAGACAGCGTGTCTTGGGTGGAGACAGTCACTCTCTCGAGGCGCTTGTCTCGCTGCGCCAACTACGATGGCTCGGCAACGTACTGCATATGCCCGTTCAGCGTCTTCCGCGTCGTGCCTAGTTTGCATTTGCTGAACAGGGTTGGAGGAAGCGGTGTAGTGGACAGCGTGCCACTTCGAGAAGCCGGATGAAAAAGCTGACAAAACAGCTAGCCTCGGTTGATCCTTCCTGACTCCCTGGATGGGGTCTCAAGGATGCTGAGTGCCGTTGGTTGGAAACCTTTAACTCATGGCTCGAAACCGAACTCAGTGTCGGACGTGTATCTCCGCCTGTTGAGGTGATTTCCCTTCCATCCTCCAATAAGAATACATCGAAAAAAGGTGAGTGAAAATGGACAAAAAATCATTTTTATTTCTTTCCTTTAATCCTGTTTTCCTATCCCGCCATAATTCCGATGGAACATTATCTGTACAGATTGTGGTATATATATATATATATATATATATATATATATATATATATATATATATATATATATATATATATATATATATATATATATATATATATATATATATATACTCAACAATACGATGTCATCAGCGTAGTCCAAGTCAGCTGCTCAACGAAAGAGCATGATCATAATTTCTCCTAATGATCTGTCCCTATTGCACGGGAACAACCCCTCGTACCTGCGAGAACTATACGCATTATTATTATTATTATTATTATTATTATTATTACCATGCATTCGTAAACAAAATAACATCCTCCACATTGATCCGTCATACGCCATGCCAGCGCAACTGGTTCGGCTGTGCAATTCCATCTCTCACCTACCTTAGTTGACCTGGTTGTTGTTTTTCCTCCGTGTCCCATCTAGGTGTGCGGCAATTCTTCTGCCTCGTTGAAGTGAAAGATCGTTCTCCTGCCTCAGTATTTGCAGCCAAAGTGTCCAAATTATGTCAACTCTTCAATTCACTAGAGTTTCAACAGTGTCTCATCTTTTCCAATTTTCACAGCAGGTATGTGCATTCTAATATGTCTCTGATTCTCCTCGACTTATTCCGTCTGCTTTGTAGCCGTTTTGTCGGCCGGTGGTCTATTGGTATTGGGTGTTAGGTATAATCAACATCATAACAGCACATTAGCTGGAGGTAAGAAGCACACTTCAACCAAGGTGCCACAATACAAAGCGCATTTGTAAAGGCGAGAGTCTAAAAGTATAGAATACAAAAATGTAACGTTCCGCATGATAACGTAATACACTTCAAGACAGAGATCGTGTTTGGGAGGAAGATGAACACGATGTAGAGGGACAAGGAAACTCACATCATAAACACCATTTAGGTCCGCTCCTTGCCATGTTAACTAGTGGATCCCACCAGACGTGTTAATCGTCCTTCGGTCCCCAGCCCTGCAGCCGGGATACAGCAACTGCCGCCGAGTTCAAAGTTAGGGCCTTCATTCCTTTGGACGAAGTCATCCTTTGGCCTTGACATAATACACAGGTCGACATCGGCTCTAATCTGCGCAGTATCCCTGTTCGTCGTCCTTCGGTCCGCAACCCGGCAGTCGGGAGGCATGAAGCGACGCCAACCTCGAAGTGAGAGATTTCATTCCTCTTGACCAAGTCACCGCTTGGCCATCCCTCCACTTTTTCCATCTGCACCGCCGGCACAGAAACAACACGCGTCGCGGGATTCAGTGGGCTGGCATACGAAACACCTGACCCAGCCATCGGAGCCGGGTGCGTGACATGACGGTGCTGAGCGGTTTACTTGCTTTTCCTGCAACAATTACACTACACCGAACACGCCCATTGCCCACGCGGGGCTCCCAGCAAATATCTTTTGGACTTGGCCTAATACACACGTCTACACCGGCTCCAATCTGCGCATCCCTGGCGCGCGCGCGCGCTGTTTATGGTGGTTTTTGCACAGCAGCGGAGCGTCGGTATGGCGTATTGCTGATTTCTTTCGTTTATGGAATCACTCTATCTCCATATTTGTCCCGTTAGTGCATCGAAGCCTCATCTGTCGTGGGGCGTTTTTGGTGCTTCTTGCCCCCTAACACGCACTCCACCTAGTCTGCACCCCTCATCGTAAAGCTAATTGGAATCCAGATTATGACCTGGAATGTATGTTAACAGCTGACTACTTGGTCACTTAAGTACTACTTCATGCGGCAACTCTCGTCACCATGATTAGGAATCCACTCATGGATTTTGGTGTTCTCACTGTTTGTTCGGATTGCGACACTTGTTAAAGCGTCCGCCAGAAGGCCACTACTTTTTCATTTCGGTTCCCTTTGCCTGCTGTTACGACTACTGGAAGTTTAAACAAGATGGAAAGCAGTCATGTAGTTTAGTGTTGGGAGCAACCAACACCGAAGATGTTGTTCGCTTACTTTACTAGACTCCAGCTACTGGCGCGTTACTATTGATTGGAAGGGGTAGAGACAAACAGGCATGATGAAATCCGAGAAATCATGGATCGCTGCGATCGAAGGACGCGTAGTACACAAATTAACCACCGTTACCTTTTCTGCAAAGCGTGTAGCGGAACCGGGAAATTAGAGCGAAACCCCTAATGAAGTACACAAATAAACCCGACTATTCCTATGCTCGAGCTGTTATTGCATCTAGACATGCTTTCTGTAGTACACAACTCATGTGCACCGCGTTGCTTTCACGGAACGATTACTTGCGTTGGACTTGGGTAACAGGTATTATCTCCAAAACTGTCAGCATGTTCACTTTCCACACTGGAGCTGATCAGTGATCTGCTCGCGAATGTTGGGGTTCCAGTTCAGCATGCCTGGTTTGGAATTGGCTTCCACCCCTTATTACTTGCTTCTTCTCGAGTCATTGGGCGATCGGCAGCTTTGTGTGTCCCGATACTAGGTTGCTTGTGCTGTAATCAAGTCTCTAAACTGAAAAAGTTACACTCTCCGTTATTGCTTCATCGTTTCGTCCGATTTACAATCATCGGCGGTACTTACTGTGAGTTGCTGTGTTTCTCTCAGTCATAGTTACTATGCTCACTGTACGGTCGTGTGCCATCCGTGGGCATCCTATATGCTTTTCTCCATCAAACTGTTTGAAATGGTCTGCTCCATTTGACTATGTGGCTCAATCTCTAGGTATCCATCCCGTTCTGGGGGTGGGTTTAGTCTAGTGATCCTCAGAAAGAGTAGTTTCCCTTATGATGTCGCCTACGTGATGCACATCCGGGTTGTTGCAACGAGTTGTGTGCAAACAATTCATAGTGGACTTCCTAATATTTGCAAATATTTTAGCTAACCATCATGTCATTTGGTTATCTTGTCTCCTCGAGACTTATCATTGATTTCTTCTGCGATCTCTGGATTCTTATTACGCATGACTTCGCTTATGACTATTAAGCTGGACAGTGGTGCATCTATACGCTATAAAACAAATGGCTGGTATGCCAAGTTACAAATTGTGAGTACCTGCCGTGAGGTTGCATTGTGACAAATAGTTTTCACTGGGCCCTCGGTTTACTTTCATTTAGACTTCGGTCAATCCAATCACTAGGACCGTATCTGAAATGGTGGTGGTCGGGTGTTGATCCTCCCAACGCGGACACCCCATGACCGGTTTCGTCCCATTTTGCATTCATCAGATTGAGGCAGCCTGAGCTGGGAGTGGAATTCGGCACATAGTGGTTAACGGCTGACGCCTTGATCACTTAGCCACTGAGATCTGGAGGCAATGTTTGACACAGCGATTAGGACTACGAAGTTGGATGTGGAGTACCCGCCGTGTGTGTTCGGCGAACAAGGTCCAGGTGACCGGAATAACTGAGATCTACTTCAACTTAAACCGAAGTCTCAATAGAGATTGATCTTTCGCAATCCAACCACCCGGCTGATATTCCAAACCCTTAACTTAGAATTCCTAACCGTTGTGCCAAGCGTTGCTTACGAATCCCAATGTTAAGGGTATCAAGGCGTCAGGCGTTGTCCATTAGGCGCTTAGCTATACTTCCAGCTCAGGCTATGTCTCCCTGGTGAATCCAAGTGAGGCCAAAACCGAGCGTGGGATTTGAGTGTTTAAAGGAGCAACACCGAAATAGATGGCCTATTTTCGGTCATGCGAAGTACCACAGTCCAACTGTGTTACATGATTCCGATGGCATAATCTGTACAGATTGTATATATATATATATATATATATATATATATATATATATATATATATATATATATATATATATATATATATATATATATATATATATATATATATATATATATATATATATATATATAGTGCGCTGAGGCTGGTGGTGGCTAGATCCTGACAGATGGTCTACCCACTGCTGCCACTGTTGCGCCATAGTCTCATGTCCTGGGCGCCTCCTCGTGGCGACCGCTGGGTGGGAGTTGGGTTTCGCCCTTCTCCCTGCTAAGGTTCAGGACACCAATCCGCATGAGTCAGCTAACTGTCCATGTGCTAGACCCGCTGCCTTTCGGGTGTTCATTTAATCGAAGGCTTTGGCTGAGGACCCGAGTCGTTCTCCTGTCAGGTGTGGACGCCCTGGCAGTATCTTAGTCCATCCTCTTCGGATTTTAGGAAGTGGTCGATGGCCCACTTCCCGTAAAACCTAGCCATGGGAGACAACAGGTTTACGGGTTATAAGCTCACAGCTCGATTGGTGTAGAGCACGAGTGCCACACATTGTCTCTGACGGTGGGAGGACACCTCCGGGTGTTCAATGGTTTGCTACTGCCCGCCTCAAGCCAGGCAGCCCCTGGTCAAATTGGTGCAAACCAGCCAAAAACCCACCTGCGTCTGGCCGTGGTCGCAGGTGTGTATCCTACTACGGTCGCAAAACATATATAAAGCGTTCCAGAACCTCAAAGGCTGCGTGTGACGGCCGTCAAGCAGATCACCATCTGTCTCTGCAATCACATTCCCGAGCTGGATCTGCTCCCCGCTGCCTTGTGGGTCAGGCTGTTGAGCCAAAGACTCCGGGTAGAGTCCCTCAAGCAAAACTCCAAACCACCCACTGCTTTGTGGGTCAGGCTATTGAGCCAAAGGCTCCGGGTGGAGTCCCTCAAGCAAACCTCCGAAGCACAACGACCACCTAGCGTTCGATTGCCCACCAATGCAATCGTATGCCTGCGCGCAAAGCACTCAGCATCGGGTGCTGGAACGTGCGCACACTAATGGACCGGAACTCCAGCGAGCGCCCGGAGCGACGCACTGCACTGGTCGCGATGTAGCTGGCGCGCTACCACATCGATATTGCGGCGCTCAGTGAAACTCGGCTCGCTGAGCAAGGTAAGTTGCATGAAGCAGATGCTGGCTACACATTCTAATGGGTGGGCAACGCCGCCTCAGCACCACGTGATCATGGGATCGGATTTGCAATATCCGATCGCCTCCATGGCCAGTTGGTGGGTGAATCAACGGGCATCAGCGCGCGACTGGTGACTGTTCGCCTACGACTCGGAAGAGGTAAGTTTACTACTTTTATAAGCATGTGTTATCCTGATGACACGTGTGATCAGTTCTACACTGAGCTATCCTCCGTGATACGGTCTGTGCCGAGGAGTGACCGACTATTTCTGCTGGGTGATTTCAACGCGCGCGTTGGGCATGATGCATCGGTGTGGACAGATGTTATCGGTCCGCATGGCATTGGTTCAGCGAATGCGAAGGGTGACAGGCTGCTCTCACTGTGTGCCACTCACGGCCTGACGATCACGAACACTCGGTTTGCACTGAGTGCGAATGATATAGCAAGTTGGACGCACCCACGGAGTGGTCACGCTCACCTGCTCGACAATGTCATCGTACGTCAGCGTGGTATGCGTGAAGTGCGCATGACACGTGTACTGCGTGGAGCTGAGTGTGGCACCGATCACAAACTAGTTCGGATCAAACTGTACATATATTTTCTTAAATCGATGTATTGCACTCCCGCCGTGAATCGGCGTAAATGTAACATTCTCTCCCTCGGTACTGTGGCGAAACGTACTGAGCTGGAGAAGGCGATGACTGCACGCCTATGTGATGTGGAATGCATAGCTACGGTGGGCGATCTGTGGCACCACATTCGCGACCAGGTGACAGCTGCTGTCGAGGAGACCATCGGGCGCGCAAACCGTAAGCGGCATGATTGGTTTGATGGAAACAATGCGACGATTGGCGCATTGGTGTCAGAGAAGAATGCAGCATTTGCTGCACATGTTGCAGACCCCAGTGACTTGGGAAAGAGTAGTCAGTTTCGCAAACTTCGACGGCGACTGACCCGAGAGCTCTGTCGCATTAATAATGCATGGTGGACGGAGAAGGCGAAGCAGATGGAATGCTACGCCGAACGCCGCCAACACAAGGAATTCTTTGACTCCTTGAAGGTGGTGTATGGACCGAGATTGGAGCCGCTGAGGACACTGATCGGTGGTAGTTCAGGCGCTACCTGCACCCAGGCTGCAGATATAATGCAGATCTGGCGGAAACACTTTGACTGTCTCTTGAACAACCGTTAAAAGATGGATTGGCCTACATTAAACGGCCTGAGGCAGCACTATGTGAAGGCGGATCTGGCGGATACGCCGAAACTGGATGAGACGCAGAGAGCACTTGCTCAGCTGCGAAACGGCAAGTGTGCCGGAGCCGACGGGATCCCGCCTGAAGTTTTGAAACACGGTGGACCCGCGTTGTTGACTGCGCTGCACCTCTTGGTGCCACGCGTGTGGATTGAAGAGGAGTTGCCTCCTAAGCTGAAGGATGTCCTTGTGCTAGCACTGTGCAAGGGCAAAGGAAGCAAGCGATGCGTCTCGAATCATCGCGGCATCAACTTGCAGAGTTGTGTGGGAAAGATGATGGCGCGGATTCTGCTCCACCGCCTCGTCAGTCAGGTTGTGGAACCTAACGTGGCGGAGGAGCAGTGTGGATTTCGTTCGGGTTGCAGCACTATAGAAATGGTGTTTGCGGCTCGTCAGTTGCAAGAGAAGTGCAGAGAACGACACCAACCGTTGTACACGCTTTTCGTTGATTTCACCAAGGCATTTGATACGGTGAACCGCGAGGCATTGTAACTGGTGTTGGATAAGTTTGGTTGCCCGCGTAAGTTTGTAAGTTTAATTGAATGTCTGCACAGTGGTATGCGAGCGAGGGTGCAGCTGAGTGGACAGACCTTGGATGACTTTGCAGTTGTCTCTGGTGTGAAGCAAGGCTGTGTCTTAGCTCCTGCCCTGTTTAATATATATCTTCATGCAATGTTGTGCTTTTGACGCGGCTTATGCTTACGGTGTTCGTGTGGAGCACCGTATTGATGGTGCGTTTCTGAGCATCTGTCGTTTCGGTGCGAGAACTGTAGTCTGTGAGACAACTATCCGTATGTTGCTGTTTGCTGACGACTGTGCGTTGTTTTCACACAGCGCGGATGAGTTGCAGCACATGACTAGTGCTCTGGCTTCGACAGCGGCCAAATTCGGGCTCACCATCAACACAAGCAAAACTGTCTGTCTCTTTCAGCCTTCACCGGAGGTGCAATCTTCAATATTGCCGCGAATCAGCCTTGGTGATGAAGTATTAGAAACCACCTCCCGCTTTTGCTACCTTGGGAGTATGATGTCGACTGATGAGCAGCTACACACTGAGTTGCGTATTCGCGTCTCGAATGCAGCGGCGGCATTCGTGAAGCTTGAGTATCGAGTGTGGAACAACCAACAGCTTACCATTGGCACGAAGCTGATGGTGTACAAATCCATGGTACTGTCCGTTCTTCTATACGGCAGTGAAACGTGGACGATGTACCGTCGGGATGTGCGATATCTCGAGCGGTTCCATCAGCAGTGTCTGCGACGGATTTTGCGCATCGGTTGGAGCAACAGATTTGCAGACACGGAAGTGTTGCGCCGAAGTGGGATGTATGCAGTGGACTGCATATTTTTGCTGAGACATCTGAGGTGGCTCGGTCATGTGTGGTGTATGGATTCGACTCGGATACCGAAACAACTCTTATAAAGTCAACTTATTATTGGGAAGCGGCACGTGGGGAAACCAAAGTTACGATACAAGGACATGATCAAAGTGAGCCTCACACGTTCTAACCTTGATTGCAGATCATGGGAATCGAAGGCGGTTGATCGGCGTGTATGGCGCGATCTGATCACGAAGGCAGTTGCCGAGGTGCAGGAGAAAGCCCTCAAGCATGTAGAGAAGAAGCGGCAAGTGCGGAAGCGGCAAGCACCGATGGATTGTTCTCCATCGACATCGTGCGCATGGTGCTGTATAACATGCGGTCGTGAGTGCCTTAGTCAGGCAGGCTTAGTGAGCCATGAGCGAGGCCACTCGGGACTACTACCGAAGCGACGACGGGTTCTGCAGAGAACGTAGGCAGAACCGGCGCAGCGTTTGTAGGCACGCTGCATTCGATTTACTAACCGCGTGCTTGCATGCTAAGTCATTTTATTTCAGGTGGTGAGTTTTCAATTTTGCCTTTATGCTTTTCTTTCCCACATAAATGCCTAGTTATACTCTCTTCTATACACTTGCACACGTCGCTTAAGCCACTTGTAGTTATTTCGATAACATTTTCGTGTTTCTAGCATTTCCGTAAAATAAACCTCCTGACCTCGTGAACTTACCTCGCATTCTTTTGTAAACAACTTATTTCATATGCTCACTAATTTAAGATTCATGTCACCGTTTGCTTGCGTGCTGTCTGTTTATTTCAGGTGGTGGGTTTTCAATTTTGTCCCAATGCTTTGCTTTCTCATATAAATGTCTACCAGTACTTTCTTCTATAAACTTGCACACGTCATTTAATCCAATTCTTGTCCTTTTCGAAAACATTTTGAGTTCGTGGCATTTCGGTAAAGTATACCTTCTGACCTCGTGAACTTATCTCGCATTCTTCTGTAAACAATTTACTTTAGATGCTCATTACTTTAAGTTATTTGTCACCTTTTCCTTATGCATTACTCGATTTATTTTCTTTGTTATCTTTCTCTCAAGTGATTGGCTGTTGCTTGATATTCCCGGTGAGGCTGCGCTTGATGTGCATGTTGACAACGTGCCTACCTGTCTATTATCTACTAGCTACTCCCTACTGGCTCCAGGAGACAGTTGGTCGTTGCTGGAGGGGACGGGGTGCACGGTCCTTGTGGCCGTGCTAGGCTCGAAGAGTGGTTCCATGCACTCAGTGTGGACCGGACTACGGTCCAGCCACCGCCTTGTGTGCACTTGATTCCCCAAATACGGCGTGCTTGTGTTTACCCGTGAAGGAGTGTGGGCCGGCTCCGTTGATGAAACTTGGCTCCCATCCACATGCCTCCCGGTCTTATTCCTTCGGGTTTACACTGGATATGGGGTGTGTGGTTGGAGCTGTGGGTGGTGCAGCGCAAGCCATCCATGGTCCCTCTGTAGGCGCAGGCGTCCTGTGGCTTGCCACAGTGACAGCCAAATCCGAAACCGGATGCCGCCAACCATATATACATATATACACCCAGCAATACGATGTCATCAGCGTGGTCCAAGACAGCTGCTCGACGAAAAAGCATGATCATAATTTCTCCTAATGATCTGTCCCTGTTGCAGGGGAACAATCCCTCGCACCTTGGAGAACTATACGCATTATTATTATTACCATACATTCGTAAACAAAACAACGTCCTCCACATTGATCCGTCATACGCCATGCCAACACAACTGGTTCGGCTGTACTATTGCATCTCTCATCCACTTTAGTTGGCCTGATTGTTGTTTCTCCTCCGTGTCCTATCTAGGTGTGCGACAATTCTTCTGCCTCGTTGAAGTGAAAGATCGTTCTCCTGCCTCAGTATTTGCAGCCAAAGTGTCCAAATTGTGTCAACTCTTCAATTCACTAGAGTTTCAACAGTGCCTCATCTTTTCCAATTTTCACAGCAGGTATGTGCATTCTAATATGCCTTTCTGATTCTCCTCGACTTCTTCGGTCTGCTTTGTCACCGTTTTGTCGGCCGGTGGTCTATTGGTATTGGGTGTTAGGTATAATCAACATCATAACAGCACATTAGCTGAAGGTAAGAAGCACACTTCAACCAAGGTGTCACAATACAAGGGGCATTTGCAAGGGCGAGAGCCTAAAAGTATAGAATACAAAAAATGTAACATTCCGCATGATAACGTAATACACTTCAAGACAGAGATCGTGTTTGGGAGGAAGATAAGCACGATGTAGAGGGACAAGGAAACTCACAACACAAACACCATTCAGGTCCGCTCCTTGCCATGTCAACTAGTGTATCCCACCAGACGTGTTCATCGTCCTTCGGTCCCCAGTCCGGCAGCCGGGAGACACCAACTACCGCCGAGTTCGAAGTGAGGGCCTTCATTCCTCTGGACGAAGTCATCCTTTGGCCTTGGCGTAATACACAGGTCAACACCGGCTCTAATCGGCGCATCATCCCTGTTGGTCGTCTTTCGGTCCCCAACTCGGCAGTCGGGAGGCATGAAGCGACGCCAACTTCGAAGTGAGGGATTTCATTCCTCTTGACCAAGTCACCGCTTGGCCATCCCTTCACTTTTCCCATCCGCACCGCTGGCGCAGAAACAACGCACGTCTCGGGAGTCGGTGGGCTGGCATACGCAACACCTGACCCAGCCATCGAAGCTTGGTGCGTGATATGACGGTGCTGAGCGATTTACTTGCTCTTCCTGCAACAGTTACACTGCGCCGAACACGCCCATTGCTCATGCGGGGCTCCCAGCAAACATCCTTTGGCCTTGGCGTAATACACGCGTCAACACCGGCTCCAATCTTCGCAGCATTCCTGGCGCGCGCGCCGTTGGTGGTGGTTTTTGCACATCAGTGGAGTGCCGGTACGGCAGATTGCTGATTACTTTCGTTTATGGAATCACTCCATCTCCATATTTGTCCTGTTAGTGCATCGTGGGGCGTTTTTGGTGCTTCTTATCCCTAACACACTCCACTTAGTCTGCACCCCTCATCGTAAAGCTTATTGAAATCGAGATTATGACCTGGAATGTATGTTAACAGCTGACTACTTGGTCACTGAAGTACTACTTCATGCGACAACTCTCGTTACCATGATTAGGAATTCACTCATGGATTTTGGAGTTCTCACTGTTTGTTCGGATTGGGACACTTGGTAAAGCGTCCGCCAGAAGGCCAAAACTTTTCATTTCGGTTCACTTTGCCTGCTGTTACGATTACTGAAAGTTTAAACAAGATGGAAAGCAGTCATGTAGTTTAGTGTTTCGAGCAACCAACACCGAAGATATTGTCCGCTTACTTTACTCGACTCCAGCTAGTGGCGCATTATTATTGATTGGAAGGGGTAGAGACAAACAGACGTGATGAAATCCGCAAAATCATGGATCGCTGTGAACGAAGGACGCGTAGTGCACAAATCAACCACCGTTACCTTTTGTTGGAAAGTGTGTAGCGGAACCGGGAAATTAGAACGGGACCACTGATGAAGTACACAAACAGACCCGACTGTTCCTATGCTCGAGCTGTTATTGCATCTAGACATGCTTTCTGTAGTACACAACTCATGTGCACCGCGTTGCTTTCGCGGCACGACTACTTGCATTGGACTTGAGTAACAGGTATTATCACCAAGACTGTCAGCATCTTCACTTTCCACACTGGAGCTGATCAGTTTGATCTGCTGGCGAAAGTTGGGGTCCCAGTTCAGCATGCCTGGTTTGGAATTGGCTTCCACCCCCTATTACTTGCTTCTTCTCGAGTCATTGGGCGATCGACAGCTTTGTGTGTCCCGATGCTAGGTTGGTTGTGCTGTAATCAAGTCTCTGAACTGAAAAAGAAGTTACACTCTCCGTTATTGCTTCAGCGTTTCGTCCGATTTGCAATCATCCGCGGTACTTACTGTGAGTTACTGAGTTTCTTTTAGTCATAGTTACTATGCTCATTGTACGGTCGTGTGCCATCTGTGGGCATCCTATATGCTTTTCTCCATCAAACTGTTTGAAATGGTCTGCTCCATTTGACTATGTGGCTCAATCTCTAGGTATCCATCCCATTCAGGGGCTGGGTTTAGTCTACTGATCTTCAGAAAGAGTAGTTTCCCTTATGATGCCGCCTACGTGATGCACATCCGGGTTGTTGCAACGAGTTGTGCTCAAACAATTCATGGTGGACTTCCTAATATTTGAAAATGTTTTAGCTAACCATCATGTCATTTGGTTGTCTTGTCTCCTCAAGACTTACCACTGATTCCTTCTTCCTACGATCTCTGGGTTCTTATTACACATGACTTCGCTTATGACTATTAAGCCGCGAGGTGGGGCCTGGGAGCTAGACAGTGGTGCATCTATACGCTATAAAACAAATGGCTAGTATGCCAAGTTACGAATTTGGAGTACCCGCCTTGAGGTTGCATTGTGACAAATAGTTTTCACTGGGACCTCGGTTTACTTTCATTTAGACTTCGGTCAATCCAATCACTAGGACCGTATCTTAAATGGTGGCGGTCGGGTGTTGATCCTCCCAACACTGCCACCCCATGACTGGTTTCGTCCCATTTTGCATTTATCAGATTGAGGCAGCCTGAGCTGGGAGTGGAATTCGGCACATAATGCTTAACGGCTGAGGTCTTGGTCACTAAGCCACTGAGATCCGGGGGCAATGTTTGACACAGCGATTAGGACTACAAAGCTGGATGTGGAGTACCCGCCGTGTGTGTTCGGCGAACACGATTCAGGTGATCGGAATAACTGAGATCTACTTCAACTTACACCGAAGTCTCAATCCGAAGTCGCAATCCAACCACCCGGCTGGTACTCCAAACCCTTAACTTAAAATTCCTAACCGTTGCGCCAAGCGTTGCTCACAGATCCCAATGTTAAGAGTATCAAGGCGTCAGGCGTTATCCGTTAGGCACTTAGCTATGCTTCCAACTCAGGCTATGTCTCCCTGGTGAATCCAAATGAGGCCAAAACCGAGCGTGGGGTTTGAGTGTTTAAAGGAGCAACACCGAAATAAATGGCCTATTTTCAGTCATGCGAAGTACCACAGTCCAAACGGTAGGCTGGTCTAATTGCACAGCGGGATCATAGAAATTATCTAATTATTCCAATTGCTCCAGGCGGTTCCTAAGCGCTGTTTTGAGTGAGTAGTGTGCATCGGAAAGACGGAATTAGCTGACTGTGGCAATGGATGCAGACATAGCTAAATCTCTATCTGAAGTAGCATGGTTATGCGTGGAACCTGTTTCCCTGCTGCGTAAATCCTCGAAAGGTTTCATCCACATTATCTATCTGACCGTGTGTAGGTTTGTATTAAAAACAAGTAAGCCGCCACCGCTTTTATCTACTACTATGCTGTTGCGGGCCCGTCAGATATCTCTGCAAAAACGCGCCACGAACTCCAACCTAATTGCTGTGGAAAGCAGAGTTCAATTTCCCTCCCCAATATAGCAGATCTCAGCCACTCGAGACGCGGCGCAGCTGCGCACATGTTGACAATGTTTTTTTTACAAAGTACCACCCCATTACGGTAGCTATTTTCACCAACTTAACGACCCATAGTACTGGCTGTAATTCACCCTTTGTTGGTCCTAAACGAGCCTTCAGAACCACCTGTCTTGCTTTCTCTTCGCCGTTAGTTGGGAGCCGGTTCGGTCACGTGATTTTTGTGTTCTCGATAGGCGGGCAGTGTTCGCGTCTAAGCCACTAGCGCGTCTACCGTCACCCACTCGTGTGCATAGCCTCTTCCATTACGAGGGCTCAGCGTCTACCCGAATACGTGGCCAGGAATGTTCTCACGCTAACCGATATCCCGCCTCACCAGCGCGTACCCCGGGTTAACGCCATCACCTCAGCGCAAATCCGTTCGATCGGCCAGCGTTCCGAGCCGTTATCGTAGGCGTGCTAAAACCGTGCGAATGACAATCGTATCAGACGTCTCAATGTGAACATATCTTTTCCCTTCGTTGCATCGTTCTCCCAAATTTCATGCAGGCATTTCCCTTCACGAATTTCAATAAAGCAAGAAGAAACAACATTATAACAGAATTTACTGTTTTCCACTCATTGTATGTAAACAGCTGAGGAGAATACGCGAAATTACTGAATTCAGTAAATTCTGTTATAATGTTGTTTCTTCTTGCTTTATTGAAGTTCTCCCAAATGTTTGCATCGGTGACGCTTGAATATGCATCGCGTGCGTCATGTGACACGTTGCACGTATGCACTCGTATGAGTCATATGGTGCCAAGGCGATCACGTGATATCAAGTTGCGAACACGATCCATGCGTATGGCTCGTACGAGTGCAAATGTGCAGTGTCACATGACGTACGCGACGCAGCTTCAAGCGTGGCTGATGCAACGAATTGAGAAAAGGTGGTGTGACTTGAATTTCTGTTGGTTATTCGATGGTCAATGGAGCGGGTCACCACATTTACTCCGCACATTTGATTTGGCTGCAGTAAAGGACACGAGTGAACAGTGTGCACACACACCCAGTACCAAAGGGAGGGAATGTTGCTAGTTCGTAACTATGGACGCTGATAATGCGAAGTTGGACACACACACATTCAGTTGAGTAGAACGGTACCAATGAGCCCAGGTTTACTCTCTCTTGCTCGTGACGTGCTTGGTGGCTGAACTTAGCTTGTACACAGGTAGAAAATGTAGACAGGCCTAAAAGTACTGTACACCGCGTTTAAGTTGCACCTAATTTCTTTTGCTTGCACGCGGCGGTCGTTACCTTGTTATTTTTGAACTTTCTGCTCAAAGGTTGACTAGAATTGTTCACCAGCTATGATTAAGTCGCCACTCTTTAAACTGATCTTTTACTCAAACCCTTGGTACATTTGATCCGCTGTGCGATGCATTTTATCAACTTGAAGTTTGCATCACGGTACTTGGCAAAATATTCGTGTTTTGTTTCAAAAGCCAATCGTTACCAGGTAAATGTGTCAACCTGCCGTTCACACAATGTTTTCTGTAATGATGACTTCTCGACCAGTTCCAAATATTTTCCAACATTTCAGATGTCGTCAGCCTTGTTCCGTTTGACCACCAGAGTTTGTTTTTTGAAGTGGAGTCACCTGCCTGCTGCTCACGTTGCTGGTTTCAGCACATTCGTGTCTCTTTTGCGACGATCAATAGAACAACTATCCTCCAGGTAGTAAAGTGCGATGAACCCAACGATTACAGTAATTAACAATGGTAATGCAAATGAGGTCGAATTCAAGTAGGATACGCTGAAAAGAGAATAGTCAAAATGAAACAGATCGAATCCCGGACTATCACTCAGTCCGCCGCGATTGCGCCAAGTCCGACAAGGCCTCCAACCAATGATGCGGTCACTGTCCACGCTCCCATCCATGCTTTTTCGGGCAATTTCTTCATGTCTTTTAGCCACATCGTCGACTGGCAATTTTTTGGTTTCACCAGACCATGTTCAGCTACTGCATCTGGTGCATGCCAAGAAAGGCGGTCCAATGTTATGTGGAGGACATGATGTAACCAAGTTAAACAGTTCGGGATTAGCACGCATTGCAGAAAGGCGCCAGAGGGCTTCTTACCAAACACGAAATGGTGAAGCCCTGCCATGCTCACTCTATTTCCACCAGATAGATGTGAGCAGTACTCCGCAAGCACTGCTGATGGAACACTACAAGTATCTTGATGCCTTCAACACGATGTAGCCTTGTATCTTATCCATAAAGTATTACCAGCCATACTCTAACGCCGTATCGTTCTCATTGACTTATAGGTTGATAGTTTGTCGTTTTTATAGATTCTTGAGCTTCTGTAAAGCCACATGACCTTTGTTTACATGTGAGGTGATCTTCACATTGATGTGACTACCAGACTTGTTAAAATTACCAGTAATTAAGGCAATTATGTACTCCCAGTAGCTGTCCTGTTATAGTAAGTACCACTAGTGTATCAGCGCAGTTCCGCGACAGTACTTTGCACTTCGAGAGTGTAAATACGATGCTGAATTGTTCACCGTTCTCCAGTTATGTATCTTCAACCGTTTGCTCAGTGGATGAGTCTAGCACATTCGCGAAACTGCGTGAAAACCATGATCCGCATCCTATTCATTCCTTTCCCATTAGTTGTGGTCCGCTCAATGAACTGGCCTTGTACTGTTCACAATTTTTCACTACTTCTACTCACTCGCATGTGATCCCATTAGCCCTTCCTCTTCTCACGCCTCATTCCGTACACATCCTCACCCCTCAGCATTGTGATCGAGTTGTATTGTGCTTTGCATCGGTGCTGGTCATCGCACCAAATCCATCTTCATAGCGGTAGCGCAATCTGATCCGATTTTTTTACCTTCCAGTGCGCAGGACCTGTGCGACTCGCTCCGTTCACGGGGTTGGCCAGTTAGCTACATTTCCAGCACGCTTGATCAGGATCAACGGTTTCGCGCTTACAACAGTCTCCGCTCCTTTCACTGCCGCGTCCTTGTCTCCACTGATTTGGTAAGTGCTTATGTCTCCTTTTACGCCCCCAACCCCCGTAGCGAATTAGGTGAACTTCTTATGGGCCCCGTGTCTTCTTTGTATTGTAACCTCAGCCGAGCGTTTCCAATATATTTAATCTTACTTACTATGTGCTAATGAATAGGAGCATTTTTGATTATAAATTTGTTTAGCAGATATCTTTCTCGCTTGATCGAAAGGCAAGTTGCTGCCAGAATTCGTAAGACGAAATTGTTCAAACGGTATGTGGATGACATTCTGGTATTCACTAAGAACGAACTGTTTATCCGACTGTTAACCACACTGCATTCATTGCAATACAATGAGTTCCACTTCAAACGAATTTCTGATGCTCTGGCCACCGCAGAGGATAATCAACGGTGCCCTATCTGCTGCATCGAGCAGGGTGGATAGGGCTTTGGATGCTACTGCTCAAGCCTTCCCGTCTTTTTATTCCCCTTCTTACGCTTTTTCATTCTTACCATCCCATTCCAACTTCACTTATATCCCCCCAGTTTTCAACCCCCGATTCTTGGCCCTCCCCCAACATGCCTTGCTAGGTATTTGTCTTGTAATTTCAACTCACATGCTAACGCGGAGCGTCACTCCTCTTCCGTCGACAAGCCCATGTCCAACCAAGCGGTCCATTCCAATTTATCGGCTTCCATTTGGAGCCCTCTATCATCCTTCAGACTGGTACGCCTCAATGTTCGCACACTGCTTCAGATCGGTCAACAGGCAGCACTTGCCCGAACAGTGGAGACCCTCTCTATCGATATCTGCTGCTTATCAGAGGTCCGCCTGCAAGACTCGAGCTCTGTGCTCACTCTGCGTTCCTTTTCAGGTGACGTAAGCAGTATTTTCTCATTGCGCCTATCCGGTGACGATGCAGCTTCGAGCACCGGCCATGCTGGTGTTGCCATTGCCCTGAGTCCCCAGGCTGAAGCTGCTATAGTTGATTGGATTCCAATCAGTATCCGGATGTGTGCGGTCCGATTGGCTGGCTCGTGCAAAGCTTCGAAGTCGCGCGGGACTCATAGGCATCTATTCGTCATCGCCGCCTATGCAGCCACAAACACTAGCGATGATTCGGTAAAACACGACTTCTACCGCTAACTGCTCCAGCTCTATCGCCACAGAAGAAGCACGGACACTGTTGTGCTGGTTGGGGATCTGAACGCACAAGTTGGAAAGTTGTCCACTGATGAAATGCATCTGGGCGGTCAGCACTGTGTAGGCTCCCGTAATGATAACGGTGAGCGGTTACTTCATTTGTGTGAAGATGTCCGCTTATTTCTTGCGAGCACTAACTTCCTACACAGCATCCGCCGGAGGATGACTTGGCGCCCACCAGCCTCAAACCAGCTATGGACGCAAATCGATCACATTGCAATCAGTTACCGATGGAGAGGCTGCATCCAGAACTGTCGCTCGATTTGGAGCACATGTGTAGACACTGATCATGCACTTGTATGTCCTGACCTGCGGATGCGTTTTGGCGGACGCCCACGACGACGTTGTGAGCACATTGACACCAGCCAACTGGCGAAACCTGATGTTCTGAATGCCTATCAAAGTGCGCTGTCACGCGAGTTGAGTAAGCGCTCACTGGAGACAATTGATGGTCACTAGTCACACGTTCGCCAAACCTTACTAGCAGCAGGCGAATCCGCACGTGGTAAGTCTAATCGCCAACATGAACATTGGGTCTCTTCTCGGTCTCTGGAACTGATCGATGGTCGCCAGCATATCCCGGCTGGAAGCGAGTACAATGGAACTCGCAAACAGCTCCGGGCAAAACTCCATGCTAGTCTGAAGAGAGACCGCGAATCTTAGTGGTCTGATCGTGCGTCAGAGATGGAAGTGGCCGCTGCGTTTAGTAACCATCGTAAGTTATTCCGTCTGATACCGGAAACGGGGAGCAGAAGAGCTGGTGTTAGTGAAACTATACATGACGAGAGTGGACAGCCTATCCTCAATTTGTCAAAACGTTTGGAGTGTTGGTCTGAGCATTTTGAAAAGCAATTTAATCAGCTAGAGTTGTTCGATTCCTTGCTGGCCAGTGATCGCCCTGCTCCGTGGGCTGTCCCTTTGGATCCACCCTCCTGTTCAGAAGTCGAGCGTGAAACCGCACTGTTGAAGTTGAACAAAGCCGCGGGACCAGATGATATTCCTCTTCAAATTCGGAGGCTGTGCTCTTGTTGATGCTTTACATGAATTACTAGTGAAACTATGGGAGCAGGAGACTGTCTCAACCGACTAGGGCCGCTCCGTTATTGTTCCCATCTTCGAAGGAGGCTCGCACTCGGAATGCGGCAACCATAGAGGAATCAGTCTGATCTCCATCGCCTCCATAATTCTTCACAGACTGACTGGTGCTCGTGAAAGCCATATTCGTGAAGAGTAAGCCGGGTTTCGTCGAGATCGTGGCTGCATCGACCACATCTTCACCTTGAGTCAGTTGTTGGAGCACCGTCACACAAATTGGCGGCCAACCGTAGTCGTGTTCCTCGACATCAAAGGTGCCTTCGATTCGGTTGATCAGTGGGCTCTTTGGGACTGTCTACTCAGGAAAGGTGTGCTTGAGAAATATGTAAATATTATGCGAGCATTATATGCGCGTAGCTCAGGCAGAGTGAGGGCTTACGGCAAGCTGTCGCCACCCTTCAATATCTCCAGCAGTGTGAGACAAGGATGCCCGCTGTCACCTTTCCTCTTCAAGTTCGCTATTGACGAAGTCATGGAGATTGCATTTACAGGACATGACTTGGAAGGTGTGGAGCTACTCCCAGGAGAACGACTTCTTGACTTTGAGTATGCTGATGACATTGCTCTCATCCGTGACAGCTGGCAGACATGCCAAACGGCACTGAAGAGATTAGCACTGGCTGTCAGCCGCTTTGGGCTTTGCTTTACACCATCGAAATGCAAAGCGCTCCTCCAAGATTGGTGGGGATCGCCTCATGTACTGACCCTTGGTGGGGATCAGCTAGAAGTCGTTCGGAAATCCAACTACCTGGGAAGTTGTATCAGCGCCCTTGGGATCGAAGACGAGATCACGAACCGTATAGCAAAAGCTCGAAATGCTTTTGCTGACCTTCGCCACCTATGGCGGCGGCTAGACATTACTCTCGCCCTGAAGGGTGGAGGGTGTACGGTTGCGAAACCTGACCTCTTAGTTCAGCAAACATGAAGAGGCTAGTTACGTTCGACCATCGGTGCGTTCACAGTTTAGCTCACTTCTGGTGGGAACACCGCGTGAGTAACCAGCGTGTTCGACGCCTTGTTTACGGCACAGGAAAATGAAATGAACCACTCAGCACCGTTATTTCCCGCACCAGACTCCGATGGCTCGGCCACGTATTGCGCATGCCGGCCCACCGACTCCCGCGACGTGCGTTGTTTACGCGCCAGAGGTGTGGATAGAAGAAGAATGGGAGTGGCCAAGCGATGACTTGGTCGAAAGGAATGAATGCCCTCACTTCGAAGCTGGCCTCGTTTGGAGCGTCACGGCTCCCTGGTTGGGGTCCAAAAGACGGTGAACACGTTTGGCTGGATACACTTGCTGACATGCCTAAGAGCCAACCTCAGTGGCGTTCGTGCTGTGAGTTTCTTTCTCTCTCTCCATCGCTTTTATCTTCCCCTCCACCTATGATCTCATTTCGTAATATAATAATTTTTCTCTTTGCCTAGTAGCCGGCTGGTAGTTTACCGGCACCATGTCTATCCGTTGCTGGTAGCTCAGCTGGCATGCAACTGTTGTGTTTATTCTCTTTTTCCTTTATGTATTGCGGCACAGAAGCTGATGTGTTTCCCACCTCTAGCTGACGTGTATAATGATGATGATGGACCACACTGCATTCAATTCATCCCAACCTATCGGTATCCCATGAGATGGAACAATGCAGCAACTTGCTATTTCTTGATATCCTCAGGAGCCGGAGGTACACTGCACTACCCCCGTTCACCGCAAAGCAAGCTGGAATGGATAATGCCTTTACTTTTCCAGCTCCGCCTCCGTTGCGTACAAATGCGGCTTATTAAAAATTTTCTGCGAAGCCAGACGCATTTGCAGCCCGGAAATGTTAGTCTCCGAAGAAGAGTGTCTGCAAGGGACCTTAATGTTGGTTGGCTATCCCGAAGTGTTCATCCGAGCTCATATCAAGCTTCCCATAAGGAAACTACCGGTGTTTGTCTATTTCTGCCGTTCAAGGTCTGCTCTGACGCACACCTACAAGAGCACCCAGTTAAAACTCATACACACCACGCGTAGCCTTGTTCTTCATAACTGTCAAAGCAACTTCTAGGGTAGTTTCCTCCTACACAGTATTACTTGACCTGCGGTTGCGGTAGCGTTTACATAGGCAGAAGTGATCGTCGGTTGGCTCAGAGGATGACAACAATTGCTGAGGTAAGTGAGACCATCGATGAGGTAATAAGACAGGGCGGATTTTACGACGAACCGAAACCCGCCATCCTTTATCGCTAAGCACCTCGACAATTCGTCATCATGTGAACTCGGAGACACCGTTAAGATGTTGCTACGACATAAAAAACACGATAGTGTTGACGTATATATATATATATATATATATATATATATATATGTATATATATATCGTGAAAGCATAACTTCATGCGAAATTCCAGGTTTCGAAGTTCGCATGAACACTGTATGCGGTGACTCCTCCGAGGAACATGATAATTCATCTCACGAGAGTAGTGTCAAATCGAACTGTGAAACCCGATCTCGATCACCCGACAACGATCCCCCTTGTAACGGCGGAATTGGTTCAACTAATTCGGAGGACGATCCTGAGAAACCAGGTATTTCTCTATGCTTCTTATTTCTCTTCATTTTTGTTCTCACACTTGAGATTTTACCTAATCGCGAACTCACTTTGGTAATAGCTAGTCGCTTAAACCAACTGAAAAGCCGGCCATAATCTTGCGGACCAATCAGGGGCTGCGACTGCAAATGTGTCAGGCGTGTGCGGTACCGGATAAAACTGTTTGAACGAAAGCTAGTTGGTAGCAAATAGCAAATTGGCCAATCAAGTGCGCGCATCGACAAGCCAGAGAGAGGAATCGCGGTTGGCTCAGTGGCGGATCCGTCTGGCCGGAACACCCACATGCAGACGAAGTAGGCACAACGGACCAAACAGACTAAGCGGAGCTGCCATACTCAACCGTGGCTCAAGGCGAGTGAACGAAGACAGAGACAAGTCGTGCGTGCAACCAGTGGACGCATAATAACGCGGAAGTCGCATACAGTCGTATACAGTATTAAACGATACTCTGATTTTGCAATAACAGTCTCTGATCATTGCCCAGACTTTCTTTTGACTCTCGGAGGGCTACGCGACACTCACGTTTCTCGTATTCTGATCATTCCAGTTAAACTACTCATATACACTCACCTTAGTGCGCCGGGTCTAGTTGCCTTGAATTATATCGTCAGGGCGGTGGTAGCGACGCGATGTTGTTGAATACGATGAAACATTCGAAGCAAAAGTCGGTATGACAAGTTTACTAAAATCCGACATGCTGATCGTATTGGAACGTTAACAGATACTTGAAAGAGGAAGAACGCAGTATCATGATCAACTCCGCGACCGTGCCATGTCGCACAAATCTCCAGCCACCAATGGGATCATTCCAAAGGCTTCCCTCTCAGGAAGACGGCGCATACTAATGCGAGATCTTACACTCAACTTCGTGTTGTGCTGTTTAGGCGAAGAGACTGGACCAGTGAGCAGATGGCCATTGAAGTATGGCTGGTACGAACTTGCCAGAGGGGAATGTTTGTTCGGCCCAACGCGAACAAAGCGCAGCTGGAATACATGCACGTCGGAAACTGACAACGCCAAATGTATCGGAAACTTCTCAACTAGGTAAACGGAAAAGAGGCTGGGCCACTGAACTGGAAGCGAATCAGATATCGCGAAAACTGTTCGAACTTTTTCAATACCTGCGCTTACTTCATTGGTTGTGCATTCATTGTTGCCGATGCTGCTGCCAATGTAAGTGAATTGATCAACAACCTCGAGTTCTTCACCATCATATGACCGGTAGTTCTGCGATAACACATCCCATGTTGGAGGTGCGACGCATATATATATATATATATATATATATATATATATATATATATTTGCAGTCTACGAATAGACGTAGAGCCATCAGAAACCATGGGACTCCAAAGAAGGTACAGAAATAGTAAAAGAAAACACATCAGAGTCCATGGTTTCGTCAGAAGGCGAGATACTACCCGGTTGCCCAAGCCGAAGTAGCGTGTGGACTTAGGGGACATCACCCCGAGCCTTTGTCTGAATAGCCTGCCCGTAAGGCGGCGGAGCGAATTCCGGGAATCGCGGATTGCTCAGTTCATACGGCTTTCGTTTGTTCCTTTGTCAAACATGGGCCCAATGCTCCCCAGAATTACGGCATAAATTTGCTGGAATACAATGCTTCGCCAGATTGAAGCAAGGGGTAGTGACTTTATTTAGTGGCAAGTCACGTCCCCCACGTCACATTGTTGTTAAACGGACATATGTAACTTTTTATAAGGAGAACGCTTGCCAGGCGAAAATCCACGACGTCCTGGAACACTGCCTCCGAACCATTTGCTGGAACGGGAAAATCCCGAACCACCCTTGCTGGCACCACGAGGAGGTTGTTCGGCAAGCCAGTGTTGACGATTAGTGAGGCGCTGTTTATTAAGGCACTGAAACGCTTGTGGTCTTCAATTAAGTTGCCTTGGTTTTGCTTGTGATGTGTTGATTGGTGTTCCACACCTATAACCGTGTGTACGTTTCGCGTCTATTGTGTTTGCGACTGATGAAGCCAATAATCGAAATGTTAACCTATCGCAGCTTACGTCTTCTCCCTATTTTGACCAATTCCGGCCCCCTAGAGGATCATAAGTCTGCCTTGTAATCCTTAGGTCGCTGGTTTGAGCATGCGCATGGGGCCGGGCAACCCTCGCAGTATCCTCGGCCTACGCGCAACTGGTGGTGGTTTCGTGACAGCGAAGTGTCGGTATTACGTATCGACGTACTACTTATGCTTTTCACTTTGACCAGTCGACCAACTGGGTCTCAATGTTTCACATGTACGATTTTTCTCGTCAATCATCTTTTCCCTACCATCTTTTGGTCCTTCGGCATTTTTTCACTCCTTATCTAAACGAGCTGCAACCAGTTTTCTGTTTTAACTCACTTGAAGAATCACCGTTCAGTTCTGTCCTGGTTCATCCCTCCATCATCTTGGAGGTCTTTCTTGATTGCTGTACTCCTAGGTAATGAATGTTTTAGATGAGAATATCCCCAAGTCCTGCTGTTGTCGTTCGATCCACTATTTGTATGTGTGTGTGTATAGTTGTCGGATGTGAACACGACTAAACATCATCACGGATACCTGAGCGCTTTCGTCCCTTCAATTCCTTCTCTCCCCTCTTACACTAATCTTCGATCGCGCATCTACTAATATTACTGCATTTCCTCTATCTTGGTCTTTCCTATTCTTATCTTAGACCTCACGTGGTATTGACGCAGAAAATGTCAATCTTGTCGTAAGCTTGGAAGTACCGTGGGAGCCTGAAATTTATGTCCATCGTGTTGGCAGAGCCGGTCGTTTCGGTAAGTTTCCATCAAACGTTGCGAATTGAGGTTTATCCCTATCTTTTCTTCTTGTGCCTTCTGCTCGATCTCCTCCGAGACTCAAGACGAAGTTTGTACACTGATCAGAACTTGGCGGTCAGAGCTAACACTCTCGGAATACTGGAAATCTGGACCTAGAAGACATGCATCTGTACTGCTCTACCGATATACTATCGGGCACGCACGCGGAATAACGTTATAAGTCACCGCACACTGTCAGCGCAGTTCAGCTGTGTGAGGTCCTATTCAGATGCGATGCTCGCTCGAAATCTGTACTCCTCAAGGTGGGCGTCTAAGTAAATTTCTTAAAATTCAGACACCGATTTCGCAAACTGTTCCAATATTTCACCGCTGGAAGCATAGAGGGTGAGCTATCCGCTTTAGGTTCCGTACCATTAGTTTGTGCCGGTAGCCGCGGGTAGTGCTTGGTGCGCGCATCTTCAGCAGTTGCCTCAGGCTGGGGAAGTGACCCAGATGCAATATCCGATGCATCATTATGAGTTTCACTCGAAACGACAGGGTGTACAATCCCAGTCGTCTGCATCGGTCTTCATAGGACATACTCCGTAAAGTGGGGATCAGCCTGGTAGCCGCATGCTGAATGCGTTCCAGTCTATGCACCTCTTCACGAGTGATTGGACAATAGGCGGGTGATCCGTACTCGAGCATCGATATTATGATGAGAGAGATGTGCGTAACAATTTCTTCAGACCAAATGCAGAATCTGCGTTTGAGCGCCCGAAGCATGCGCAATCCGTTTCCTTACAGATCCTTCGTGTTATCCACGGTCTTCAACTCGCAGTTTGAGAATGCATCTAAGTCCTTCACGGAACATATGCGATACGGTGGTTGGCCGGTCATAGTGTATGTTCGCCCCTTACCACCCTTCCCAGTGCACATAAATGACGACTGGACTGGGTTGATCGGAAGATTTACTTCCACAGGCCACATGGACAGGCGGTTGAGATCTTGCTGTCATTGGGAGCATCACTTTCCAAATCTTCAGGTCGTCTGCAAACAAGGCACACAGTGACCTACGAAGCTGTGATACATTTTGCTAAGGATCATGAGCAAAATGGGCCCCGGTGCTGTGCCTTGGGGTACGCAACTAATGGAAAGTTACCAGTCACTTAGATGCTCATCCACTTGTATTCTGCACTTCCACCCAGTAAGAAAGTCGCTGATGCGCTGGTGCAGTGAGACCCCAACACAACACCTTTTCAGCTTGTGTAGAAGGATCTCATTGTTCACCTTGTCGAGTGCTTTACTGAAACCAATGTAGATCACGTTAGCAGGCTCCCCCTGGTCCATTGACTGCAACAATTCATGCCTCGTCACGAATAGATTGATGATGCATGAACCGGTGCCGGCGTCAGCAGGTCTTTCGTTTCCAGCAGCTGCATAAGACTTGACTCCACCATCTTCTCAAGCACCTTGACCAAAACGGAGGTCAGACAAATTGGCCGGTAATTGTTCACCTTTCCTTCTTAATCGGCTTTACTACCGGGCATTCCAAGTCGTTGAGCAATGCACCCTTGGGCAGTGACATGTTGAACAGATCAATCACGAAAGGCCGATGTGGACTTACGAATCAGAGAGTGAAGCTCGTCATGACCGGCATGTTTCTTACTTACGAAGCTCGCGGGACCTTCAAATTCGGCAGTTGCTGTTGTGATTGGAATATTGTCCTACGCTACTCACTGCGGATATTTTCCCACCTGTTTCTACAACTTATTTTCCATTTGTTTACGTAAACCAATTTAATGTCAGCAATGTTAACATACTCTGCTAACCATTTGATTTCGTTCCGCGAAAATGTACGAAATTCACTAATCAAATGTGGCCAAAAAATCAGAAATACTGTCAAAAGAATTGTCCGGAAAAATTTGGGGGTAAAGAAAAAGCACCGTCCTGGTTGGCAAGCTGGACTCAGACGCTGTTCTACTAATATTGCACAAATTCCGCTTATCGTGTCCACATACCCACATCATCATCAACAGCAGTACATCAGCCATTTGAACTGATGCTTCGCTGCCAATAATTTTGTCACAATTGGCGTTAGGCTAATACCCCTGTGGTTAGAACAGTCTGTGCGATTGCCCTTCTTGTATATTACCACTGTAATCAATTCGCTCCAATCAGCCGGAATGCACTCTTCTTTCCAGATACATTCGAATAAGGTCAGTGCTTTGCAGAAGACCTCACCTCCATCCTCAAACAGTGCTGGTTGGAGGGAATCCGGGCCAGCGGCACGAAAACGGGTGAAGGCTGTAATCGCGTTTCGGACCTCGGCCTCCGGCGAACGCTCTAAACTAACCGTCCATGGCTCGTCCTGCATCACCTGAGTAGGAAGAGGTCCAGGAGAAGGGGGCCAGCCGAACTGATCTTGAAAGTGTTCCGCCCAACGAGCCATACAGCGCTCCTTATCGTGTATCAGCGCACCCGCATTGTCTCTGATTGTCTCACTGACGCCTGGTTTTCTGGGACCAGTGGTGCGGATAAGATGGATGAGCTTGCTGTGATTGCCTACTGCTCCTGCCTCCTCCATTTCTTGAGCCCTGCTGGTCCACCAGGCTTCCTTTTCAGCACGCAGGCTCTGCTTTAGTTCGCGCCTAATAGCCCGTCTGGTCACATTGTGTTCAGAGCCAGCCGGGAGGTGTCTTCTAGATTCCAACAGATTCACCGACCTCTCGGATATCCAGTGACTGGTGTGGTGACGATTGATAGTGCCACAAGCAGATGCTCCTGCGTCGTGCATGGTGACCGAGATTCTATTCCACTGAAACTCAGTGTCATTAGAACTAGACAACGGAAGTTCGGTATGAAGTGCTTCTTGATAGGATTGCCTGACCGAGGACTAAGCCAATCTCTCAGTTGCCAATCGTAGGGGACGCTTAGTGCGCCTCCCGGTAAACTTCATGGAGAAACGACAGCGTACCAAGGCATGATCAGAGTCGACACAAGTACTCCAGTACGAGCGGCAATCCAGGATGGAACCACGCCATCTGTAACTTATGGCAATGCGATCAATTTGGGTCCATCGCTGGCCAGCTACAGGAGGACGCCAACTGGCACTTCGGCGCCCACTGTGTCTAAAAGCAGTGCTACTAAGAAACAACTGGTGCTCTGCACACAGTTGCAGCAGACGCTAGCTGTTGTCAGTCCGTTCGGAGTTAAGCCCACATTTACCACCTAACTGAGTTTCTGAAGAGCTCAGATGCACTAGTTTTGCGTTCATATCCCCTGCAAGTACTATAATATCTGAACAAATAGCACTGCGTAGCAGCGCGTTCAGTTCGTGAATGGCAGCAAGAGCCTGGCTGCTTCCCGTCAAAAAATGAGTTACTCCTTGGCGCCCATCCTATCAGTCGGCATTCTCCCACACTTGACCCCTTTAGACCGAGAAACTGGCCTGCTTGTATACGAATGCTCAGGGTCTTTTTAATAAACTGGCCGAACTGAAAGATCGCCATGCTTCTGGGTCATATGACGTCATTGGTATCACCGAGACGTGGTTGCACACGGGACTGACGGACGCTGCAGTTTCGCTACCGGACGTCGCTGATCCGGAACTACAGGCTCACAAAAGGAGGAAGGGTAATTCTGTACTACCGGAGCGACTTAGAGTACAAAGACGTGGAAGATTCAGACTCGCAGTTCCCCCACTCTCTTTGGTGCTGCTTACAGTTAAAGGGCAAAAACGCCTGCCTTATTGTCTTAGTGTACCGCCTCCCTTAACTGTACACCCGAAACCGACTACCACCTAGCAACTGCATTAAGAGGCAGTTTACAGCGCAAGTACGCTCACCTACTTATCATGCGTGAATTTAACGTAGATTGTTTAGAAACGCCTGCCACGCACTGAGAATGCAATATGCCCCCACATTTCGGAGGGTCTTTCCAACAAGTGATCTGCCAATCTTTGTCGTTTCCTCCCCAGGACTAACCCACATCGCTTTTACCGCGGAGACTGTATTGCAAAAGCTGATGTCTCTACGCAAAAACAGCTCGCCGGGTGTTGACACCATCCGTCCAGAGGCATTGGAAGCAGCAGCAAGCCAACTGACAGGGCCTTTGGCTCACTTGCCCAACGCTGCTTAGACCAGAACCAAGTTCCCGCCATGTGGGAGCTTGGACTATTAACTTCGATGCACAAAGGTGAAAGCAGAACTGAGCCCTCCAAGTACCCAGTATCGCTACTTCCTATACTCTCTAAGGTCATGGAATCCATAGTTGCCCATGCACTGGTGTGTTATCTGGAGAACTGTAACATCATCACGCCTGAGCAGCACGGTTTCCTTCAACAGCGGTCATGTACAACGAATTTACTATTCGCAGGCAGTAGTTGGACCTAGTCAGCTGACGTTGGAGTAGGTGTTGATGTGACCTACCTGGATTTTTCGAAGGCTGTCGGTCGTCTAGACCATGGGATGCTACTCGCCAAGCTCCAGCATTACGGGATCGGCGGCCCACTTTTAAGCTGGACTGCCAACTTTCTACTTCAACGGCAATTAGTGCTCAGAGTTCGGAACTGTTTATCGGACCCCATACAAGTTGAGTGTAGTGTACCACAACGCTCAGTTCTAGTTACACGTTTGTTTTTGATGTTTATTAATTAGCTTGCACAGGGAATCGCTTTAAACCTCCTAATGTTTGCCGACGATATCAAAATTTGGCACAGGATCCAGATGAACGCCGATCAGCATCTGCTTCAGAGAGACCTAGATACGGTATATCAATTTTCAACCCAAAAGTTACTGCATTTCAACGTCAGCAAATGCAAGGTACTTTCCATCCGACATCAGGGCACCTGCTCATACTCGCTTGGAACCAATGTACCGCAACAATCAACCGTCGAACGTGACTTGGGTGTCCTGGTTCAAGTTGGCTTAGGTTGCTCCAGTCAATCCGAAAAGGCCTTGAAAACTGGAAACCAACACGTCCGGCTGTTGCGGCGAGCGTTTGGACAAATTTACAGCTCCATATTTCGATGAATGCTCTGTGCGTATGTTCGCCCCGATGTCGAATACGCAGTTCAAGCCTGGCATCCAGGGCTGAAACACGACCTTAATGCACTGGAGCAGCCACGAAGTCGGGCAGCTAAGAATCTTACTAGAATGCGCAACCTTTCCTACCAGAAGAAACTGCAACGATTGGGGGTATTTAGTGGAATCTTTCGCAGACTACGAGGCGACCTGATTATGGGATACTTGATTCTGCAAGACCCACATCATGTGTGCCGCCCTTTACTGCTACTCAGCACCAATACAAACCTGAGGGGCCTCTCATTGAAACTCGCAGAATAGCATAACCGTCTAGATTGCCGCAGGAATCCCTTTTCCATTCGTGTCTGTCACCCGTGGAATGCTCTCCCAGAATCGGTTATCTCTGCACCGGCACTAACCTTACTTAAAAGACGGTTGGATGACGCACTCATCCACTTACAGTTTGCCACTTAGCGCTACGTCTCCCTCCTACACCTGGAGTTTACCATGGAATTATTTGCTATTAACTGTGGGTGCTGTGAATCTAAGCGGATCACAGGACTACAGCGCAGCAAACGATAAGTCCTTATTTTCATGTTTATAAATACTATTTTATTATTGTTATTCTCATTATTATTATTTCGATATCACCAACAATCCAACAGGACTTGTAAAGCAACACTTCTTAACCCGTATAAATTCATTGTTCATTGATTGGCAGCATGGCATTAGAGCCACTATCCTTGTTTGACTTCAGCTTTGTGACTTCCCTGTAAACACCGGTGTGGTCAAACAAGGTGAGAGGATCAGTGATGAGGAAGGGAAGTATGGCGAATGATGTGTTCGATCATGAGGAGTTAAACTCTGCCGTTGAGCATATCCACATCGAGTGGAAGGGTCACTTTTACAGCTTCCACAGATCACGGCAACTGCGGTTTCCTAAAACAGCTACAATGTACGGGCTGTTTAATATTTTCATCTCGGCTTTTATAGCCATAGTCACATTTACTAGGGGAGTTAGCTCTTTCTACGCGGTTTCTTGAGTATTGGAGATGATAATCTATCATCAACTAATCTCTATAAGGAAACACACACGTTAACACAGAAATTAATATAGTTCGTGAGGTGCTCGCATTGAGCTGACAAGCCTTCAGTTGCGAACATTGAGAAATCGGTTGAATTTTAGCGTCAATTTGAACCTTGCGGTATTGTACAGTTTAACAGCTCTGAAGGACATTTTTGTCATCAGAACGCACTTGGTCTTACAGTACGTCTTGGGGCATAAATTTACAATGCATTAGTCTGAACGGCCAAACTAAGTCTCGTGTTTGTGTGGAAAACAGGTGATCCGCAAAATTTTTCATATCCGACCTTGTTGTGTCGGGCGCTCAATAACCGTTTCCGACAGCGATGGAAAGCCACCAAGAAACTTTGGTTTACATTCCAACAAACAGAAGCTGATTTGAAGAAATTGAGTAGGCGGACAGCTATGAAACCGCTTTGCACCAGTTTTCGCTACTGTACATGATCACACCCTACTTCCGCGGTTCTAGGGTTTTCCTTTGCTGTCGAATCTAACACGTTGATAATTATAGATGTTTTCCGATCCCATATTCAGTATCGGGATGTAGCCAACTTTCTTTTAACATCATACTATCCGCGTTCGAAAATTCTCTTCGTTGTTAAAGGTTCTCGGAAGCAACCTCATCATCGTTGTCGCCTATATACGTTAGCTGGGGGTACAAAACACACCTCAGCTAATGTGCCGCAACACATAAAGATATGATATTAAAAGAATTACACTACTAAGAATTCAAAAAGCAAATAATATACTGCTAAGTATTATATTATGCATTCCGTATGCGATCTTTATTAGAGGGGGAATCTAAAAGAGACGAGGAGGAACACAGAAACTCAAAACAAAAACGCCGTTGAGGCCGGCTCTTCGCCATATCAATAAGTGTGTCCAACCAAATGTGTTCGTCATCATTGGGACCCTAGCCAGGCACTAAGGATGCACCAACCGACGTGACCAAGTCACTGCCTGGCCACCTCCCCTCTTCTTCCATCCAGATCCAGGTCGCGCAAATAACACAGGATGCGGGAGCCAGTGTGCTGACATGCGCAACACGTGGCTCAGCCATCGGAGCCTGCTACGTGATAAGATGTTGTCGAGCGTTTCACTCGCTCTTCCTGCAGCAAATAGACGACGCCGAGTACATTCATTGCTTACACCGTGTTCCCTCCTGACATGAGCTAAGCTACGAAAGCAGTGATAATCGAACGTAACTAACCTCTTTATGTCTGTCGACTTGATGAGCCAGTTTCGCAGGCGTACATGAGATTTGAGCGGACGGATGAAAAACAGTCATGCATTCTTGTACAGAATAAGCGTGATTTGTATCTTGTTAGCAGTACATTATCTGAGTCCAACCCACTAGCCAGCGCGATGCTTCCTTCCTAAGCTTTCCTTGATAATCATTATGAATGTGCTACTGATTTAGTGGCCGTAGTTGATTAGAAGGATTTTCCAACAACTTCTAGAAACCAAATCAATCAATCAGCAGAGAAAAAACATTGCTGCCCACGAATTGGTTCACTTAAACTAATGAGGTAATAGTTTGCAGAAATATGAAAATAGAATTCACAGTGGGTAGCGTAGAACGATATTCCGGTGGCAAAAACGATGGTCGAATTTGAAGGCCTTATGATATCACCTTATTATTTATTCATTCCACCACCAAGGCCATCTAAATTGTAATGCCTTCTTGCTAGTAGATATCTTTCATTACGGTTTTGGAAGTTTCTACATTTTGCTTTTCCGAAGATGGCGCTCAACCCGAAGCTTGGCTTGCAGATAACCCATCCTCGTCATCATCATCAACAATAACAACAACGAATGCAGTATATCAACCATTTGAACTGATGATTCGTTGCTATACAGCCATGATGACCTGCGAAACGTAGAATAATAAGAGAGAGGGAAGGGAGACTTACCAGAAAACCTTAATGTCCTAAACAAAAATTCAGATTCAAGACGATTACGCCTCGTCTACAACATACTGTCACAAACAGATGGCTATCGTGCAAAGAAAAAGCGACATGGGTGAAACAGCTCCTTTGTGCCTTTCACTGCTACGTGTCATAATCATCCATTACCCCGTAGATAACTCAGCCCAAAACACTCTTTAAACAGTCAGTCCGACTAATAGACGGCAGCAGACGTGCTACTGGTATCGACTGCGAGCCATGTCTAGTAAAGTCTCTAGCCAAGCGCAGGGCGAGTCACGTGGACTCCAGTCTGAAAGGCGAGACGGACCGACGGCACCGAGTTTGGTCCTCAGTGACTTTATTTCCCGCTACCGAGTCAACTTTTGTCCACCTTGAGTCTTGCGCTAACCTACATCTGGCAGACTAAACAAGGCGCCCTCCTAAGTAAGCGATGACCAGGCATAGGTACCATGTGCCCAAGCTAACACAACTTAATCAGTGCATGATTATCACTGCCTAGTACTCGCCTAAGCACATCATTGTTGCGGACAAGCTGTTGCAATCCGACACCAGCAGTGCTCCGCAGCGATGACCAAACACTTAAATGCGTCTCAGACTGAAGAGGCGGTCACAATTCCGTAGAGTAGGACGGTCCTCACTATTCTTCGGTCGCAATTAAATACCTCGTTTTCATAAGTCGGTATGAGGAGAATCGCATGTTCCCGCAGAGGAATCACGCAGATTCCCATGCCTTTGTTAATACTTTTGCTCCCGTTACTTTTCAAATATACGCTGCGAATTTCCTAGTGTGGTTCAGGCATCATCTTCTCTTCTGTGTTACGTGGAAACTGAAGTGATCTAATGCGAAAGTCATCCCTCTTCCGCGCTAGTTTGTTGCCGAAATTTACTCTGGTCTGTTATCTATTTATCATAAACGCATCTTTCGTGATGACCTCTTCATTCATCTGTTTCCATGCTGACCAGCATTATCGTGTTTATTTTCTATTGTCACACATCTAAAGTGCATTTGTTCCCACCTCTTTGCCCAGGTAGCTATGGCGCTTCTATTATGATAGTGAGCGATCTCCCCGAAGAGCGACAACTACTCATGCGCCTTCAATCGAAGTGCCCCACACAAATCGTTCAACTGCCAGGTAACCAGACATCGGTTTGGGGTCGTTTTTACTGCATACTGTTTCGTCTGTTTTAATGGTTTCTACTTTGCGCTGCCACATGTTTTAAGCATACAGTTCTAGAGTATTTGGTGCTTCTCACGTTTGCTTGGAACATCAACCCAATGCGCCTAATTTCGAGTCGTGTTGGCTCCCCCTACAACACCTTTGGAGTAGGCAACCCACCAGTATCTCCTAAACCCGTTGTTCAGCTTGATCTGTATACTTGGTACGCAACCCATACAGTCCCTGAAACTTCCAGAAAATCCTTCCAGCGGAACGCGCTCATGTACCCGCCGAGATTGGTAATTAGATTGAAAACCTTTCCCCCACCTTTCCTACTCGTCCATGTCACCTCCCTCCGTGATAAAACGTTTACAAACCGATTTTCAAGTCGTCCTTGATCCTACCGGGTCAAATAATTACTTCAGTGTAATTCGTAATCCAATTTGGAAGTCCAGCCTGTCACGCGAACACAAAACTGTTATTCCAACTCGGTAAATGAGCGTTTACGTGCATTTATCGATTTTCATCCGTTTGTCTTAGGAAAACTGCTCAAACTAATTGATCGCCTTTTCTTTTTCGGGCCATTCCTTTTCAACCTCTTGGGTCTCTAAACCAGCTCGAGCATTAAATTTGCTTTCAATCAGTTCATGCGGTACACGATTACCTATGGCTTCGTATCCAAACATTCTTGATCGCCGCTAACTCGCCGCGGTTGCTTGACTTCATGACATCTTTGTCCCATTTTGTCTCACCCGCCTCATACTCTGCAGATCCGGTTCCTGCCGATCTGGCCGCTCCTGATTGCGCCATTGATCTGGACAGCCTTGTCACCGTAGTCAATTGCGTCAACAGTTCAACTGGTCAATCCAAGCCCCCTGCTGGTTTTAAGACATCTTCCTCTCGGCAGAAGCGGGAGTCACCACCTGAACCTCCTTCATACGTCGTGGCGCCTGATGGAGATCCACCGATGGTGCACAACAATACCAATGTGACAAAATTCGAGAACCAGTCCACCAAGGCGCACTCCGCTTCATCTTGGTCTCAGTTTCCTCACAAACTTACCCAGTATTTGGATGCAGTAAATACTCTGGTGAGCAATGCGTGAAAATGTACATCGTTGTCTGTTGACTCAATTCTCCCCTTAAGATAGGTTCCATCCATCAGCAATCATTAACACACCACCCCCAAAACGCACGCGTACATTAGCCGCAGTTCTACTCCTCATCCACTGTACCCTCCTGACGCTGGTCTCCGTAATCCATTTGACGCTTCTCCGCTTGTTTGCTAACTCTCTGTCTGTTCTTCGACGGAGCTACCTTTATGTCCGTGTGCGTTTGCTACTTTCAACGAAGGGGGTAATTTCAACATTACCCCGTGGTTGAAAGTTCGTCATTTTGGTGTTTGGTGACAGACCCCCTGATCCCCTATTAGAGAATACTTGCTTAACCTGAATTGTATCCGCTGCCTCAGTCATAGCCTCCGCATGTTTGAAGACTGGCTACCTTGCTTTGTACTGTCTGTCAATACTGGCCCTAGTTGCTTACCTTATCGGCTATGGTTCAGTGACGAAACAAATGGCGCCTCTGTATTTGTTCCCCAATTTCTTGCCAATAACTAGTCTATGACGATTTTGTTCCCCCATTTCTTTAACTCCATACTGTGTTATTGTTACTTCGGTGATATGAGTCGATACGTGTGGACTGTTGCGGGACCCGAACACAATTCCGCCAAACAAACAGGGCTCACCTGAACCCCTCCCCTTGGTAGCCTCGGCAATACTGTTGCCATGTGGTGACTCAAACTACGTAGGTTAAAGCGGTGCTCTCCTCATTGACACTGCTGTCGTCTGTCAACGCAAGCCGCGCCGGCACACCATAAATTCTGCTCAGCATATTACCACTACGTGGCAACTCGTGTCGTGCTTAACTTCAGCTTTCCTATTCTACTGTATCATGAATACAAAGGGATATTACAGAAAAGTAGTAGCGTGAGTTGAATGGTATCGGTAAAAATTCGTCACTTCTAGACTAACTCAGACAGCTTTCACACGCCCGGAAAAGCATTGTACGCGCGTTTCATCCTTTCGGGAATCGTCGGCAGTGCGTATTCCATCGGACCCTGGTGGGGCTCGAACCTGCAACTCGACTGTTGCCAGTCCGTGGTTGAGACAACTGAGCTATGGGGGACGGCAACGACCATCGTGAATAAGTTACTAGATGTGATATAGCGCCGCTCACCATCCACTGACTTGCACGTTACTGCCGTGCAGAGGACAGGGTAACCCCCCTGACCAAGCGACGAGCTTACCAAACTTAAACCGCTAATTAACTTATGGCATTATAAGCAGTTTGGTCTGTAATCAATACGCAGACCAAAGTGGCTATAATGCCATAAGTTAATTGGCGGCTTAACTTTGATAAGCTCGTCGCTGCACGGCAGTGAAGTGTAACTCAGTGGATAGTGAGTGGCGCTATATCACATCTAGTAACTTATTCACAATGGTCGTTGCCGTCCCCGGTAGCTCAGTGTTCTCTACCACGGACTGGCAACAGTCGAGTTGCTGGTTCGAACCCTACCAGCGTCCGATGGAATGCGCACTGCTGACGATTCCCGAACGGATGAAACGCGCGTACAGTGCTTTCCCGGGCGTGTGGCGGCTGTCTGTGTGAGTCTTGATTTGACGAATTTCTACCGATACAAAGGGATATGTTGTGATAGACTATACCTTTTCTCGGGCTGTTTATCCACTGGGCTTTCAAATTCCTCCTTAAGGAACTCACATTCCCTTATAGATCACTCAAACGCTCCTTACCGCTATCAAATGGCATTCATCGCGCTCGAATGCCCCTAAGTGCGTGCTGTTCATCGATTGCCGGATCAGTCAATACTATACATTATTTGCTGATTTGGGATTGGTCACTCAACGAACAGTAGGTATTAAGAGCATTCTCCTTCGTTGGATGCAGTTTGCTAACAGTAAGCACCATCGTGGGAGATCTGTGGGAGATCATAATTTCCTTAAGGAGGAATTTTAAACGCTATGAATTCCATCCACTGCGAAATGTTATATTCGTATCGACCCGTTCACTGCAAACCCCTTCCCCCAAAACGAATACACTGCCTTGTCGAAACTGTTTCCCACTTGCCAGTCACATCAAGACTGGACGTTAACAGGATGCGACGGTTTGTGTTCCTTCTTGACCGATTGAACTATACTGGGTGGTGCCTCCGGGCCCCTTGAGAGCTACTCTTGTCACTGGTCAACTGGTCACTGTTTAGAGGTCAGACATACTCAGTCTCTGGTCCTCCACGTTGGAGGTTTGAAATGCGTTGGATTCCATTTCTGTATAACTAAATCATTGCCACCTTCCTCTGTCTTGCGGACAGGCTTCTAAGCCAAAAGCTTTGGTTGAGGATCCTAGTCGTCCTCCTGTCTAGAGCTGGGCGCTCTGGCAGTATCTGAGCCCACATGCAGCCATGCCAATTCCCCCAAACTCTAACTACATCCTGCATCGGCCGTCGGCGCAACTTACTAAGGGTCGCCTTATGTCCTGCACACCATAGGGCGGATGAGCAGCAACATACTACTGCTGACGTCTCCCTTCTTCCTTTTCCACCTGTTTCTCTTACTCCCATCCCGATCCCCATTACTAACCTTGCTTCTATTGTTCCCAGCTTAATTGACAGCAACCGAACTGCCACTGGAGCAGAAACATCTGCAGCCACCTCGCAGCACCCACCGGATGCCCATCAGCAACAGTCCCACATAAGGCCAAGCTGTTCCGTTCCCCTGACGGCATTCAACGTTCGCATTCTAAGACAAATATGTCAACAGACTGCACTCGCACGCACATTGGACACACTGGGTATTGATGCGTGTTGTGTGTCCAAAACTGGGATCAGTTACCCTAATGGTGTTGTTGCATTAACTGCACCCGGCTTATCCTCTCCTTATTGATTGCACGCATCCGGAGACGCTGATGCAGCACTCACGGGTCAAGCTGGTGTAGGTATCATTCTCAGCTCCAAGGCTGAGCCATTGTTGGTTGATTGGTGTCCGGCGTACAGCCGTTTGTGCGCACCTCGTTTGACGACATCGACCAAGGTTGATTCAAGAAGCAGTAAAAAATGCTGTTTGTTTGTGATTTCCGCTTGTGCTCCCACCGACTGCAGTTCAGATGCTGTCAACGACACATTCTATGACGAACTGAACGCGCTACTACGCAGTGCTACCAGTTCAGATATTATAATACTTACAGGGGATATGAACGCACAACTAGTGCTTCTGAGCTCCTCAGAAGCTCAGCTGGGTGCTAATTATGGACTTAACTCCGAACGGGCTGACAACAGCGAGCGTCTACTACTAGTGTTTGGGGAGCACTAGTGGTTTCTTAGTAGCACTGCTTTTAGACACAGTGGGCGCCGAAGTGCCACTTGGCATTCTCCTGTAGCTGGCGGTCGATGGACCCAAATTGATCGCATTGCCATAAGTTACATGTGGCGTGGTTCCATCCTGGATTGCCGCTCGTTCTGTGATACCTGCGTCGACTCTGATCATAGGTTGGTACGCTGTTGTTTTCCCCATAACCTTTGCCGGGAGGCACACCAACCTTTTCCTTCAAACCTATCAATACGCACTGCGTACCGAACTTTCGCTGTCTTGTCCTAATGACACTGAGCTTCAGTGGAATAGGATTTCGGCCACCATGCACGACGCAGGAGCATCTGCACTGTCAATGGTCACCGCACCAGTTATTGGATATCCGAGAGGTCGGTGTATCTGTTGTAATCCAGAAGAAACCTCCCTGCTGGCTCTGAATGCAATGTGACCGGGTGGACTATTCGACACGAACTAAAGCCGAGCCTTCGTGCTGACAAGGATACCTGATGGACCACTCGGGCTCAAGAAATGGAGGAGGCAGGAGCAGTAGGCAACTATTGCAAGCTCTTCCAGCTGATCCGCACCACTGATCCCAGGAAACCAGGCGCGGATGCACTGGTAAGGAGCACCATATGACTCGTTGGGCGGAGCACTTCCAAGAGCGATTCAGTTGGCCTCTTGCTCCCGGACCTTTTTTACCCGCGTGATGTAGGACGAACCATGGACGGTTAGTTTGGAGGCTGCATCAGAGGCTGAGGTCCGAAACGTGACCACAGTCCTCAATTATTTTCGTTCTACTGGTCCTCTGCAAATCACTGACCTATTCCAACATATCTGGAATAACGAGTGTCCCGGCTAACTGCAGTGATTCAGTTATGGTGGCAATATACAAGAAGGGCAGTCGCACAGACTGCTAACCACATTGGACAGTATGCGTATTCAAACCGAGGTACCGGAGGCGTAGCTGAACTTGGGTTCTCATGACTGCGAGTGTTAGGAGGGGTGTGTCGGAACTTGTGAGTTACCATAGGCGTGAGTGTGTGTGTTTGTGTGTGTCAGTAATGAGTACGCCAAGGTCTAGCTTACTTGAATTCGGCTTGTGTGATCGTGTGAGAATGCGCCTTCTGTATAACAGTGCAAAGGCCTAACCACCTTTGAATGAGTCAGTGGACATCTTGCTATCGGTCAGTTCTGCGCGGTTACATGCTTCGTCCCCATTCTCAGCCCGCGTGCATGAACGTCTGGCAGTTAGGCCGCGTCGATCCGAATTCAGCTTGCTGTTCTGCGTCTGAGAATGCTACACGTGAACATTGTTTCGTCTGTTCTGGCTGAGCACGTCGAAACCCCGCACTTCGTTGCGGTGATCAAAATCGACAAAGTGAACTAATCCTAAATTTCAGTGCAGCAATGTTTGTTTCTATTAACGACATGGTTGATTACCATCGCAATCTCATTTCAGTGTGGCTTACAAAAACGATGGTGTTTGGGCCACTTTATGCATATAGAGAGGCGCTATCGGAACAACTAAGTGTGCATACCAATGAAACCTAAGTCTAAAGATCGTGGCACACTCTTACATGTGTTGAATATGACCACAACGAAAGTGATCAAATTCAAAGACCATTCGATGCACAATGAGACGTTGGGCCCCTGCCGTAGCAGATCCGGATTTCCCCATCCAAGGGTATGTTAGCTTCCGACACATTTTAGAAAAAATATTCACTTGAAAAGCAATTTGTGGAGGTACTTACCGAACACCCTACGACTCGAACGCGCAGTCGTCCGTCTGGTTAAACAAGCGAGCGCGCAACACGAAGCATAATATTTGACCAGTCTCTCCCTCTCTCCTAGCCTCTACACACCGTCTACTGCTATTGTGGACGGGCACTACCACACTGTGAGAGCACGGTTGAATGCCGTCAGGTTGTAGACCCACTGTAAGCAACCTACTGCATGTCAGATTAGTCATATGAGATAATTTGTTGCATTCCGAAAAATCTGTGTCGATGTTTACGGTTTAAAATAACTAATACTAACTAAAAATGTGGTTTTCAGCGTACGCCACTATACATCTTGTCCTATGTATGCGACTGTTCTATACGAGAATCTCCCTATTATGTTGCCTGGGGGTCTGATTTGTACCTCATCAACATGAACTAGCTTTCGACACTTTCCTCATCTAACGGCACTTTTGGTGTCGTCAACCACACCTTACTGTTACGCATCGTTGGTTTGGACCATTAGACTAGGAGGGAACAAGCAGCAACCGCTACGACTAAGTAACTGTAATGATCAAACACGTGTACCTATCCTCCACTGCCACGCGCTTTTCCAGCATACAGAGGATATGGTTGACCCCCTGAACTGCGAACTTTCCTTACTGTACTGCTTTCCTACAATGGCCTTAAATAGTATAAATGATGATGTTCGCACATTCCCATCCCAACGAGACTGGACCAAGACATTGTGCGAGGGTTTGCGTGCCTCCGTGGCCCATTAGTCCAAGTGCCTTCAGAATCATCCATAGTAGACAAGTCAATGTTTGGAGTCACACTAACTCAGTCTCGCAATTCAATCCTCTTCGAAGGTTAGGGAGAGCTCGATGACCCTCTTCCCGTAAAACCTAACCATGGTAGACAATAGGTCTACGGGTTATAAGTTCACAGCTCAACTGACGTACACCACGTGTGCCACGCATTGTCTCTGACGGTGGGAGGGCACCTCCGGATGCTCAATGGTTTGCTACCGTCCACCTCAAGCCAGGCAGCCCCTCGTCAACTTGGTGCAAACCCGCCATAATCCTCCTACATCTGGCCGTGGTCGCAGATGCGTATCCTACTACGGTCATAAAACATATATGAATCGTTCTAGTACCTGCGTGTGACGGCCGTCAAGCAGATCCCAGTCTGTCTCTGCAATCACATTCCCGAGCTGGGTCTGCTCCCCACTGCCTTGTGTGTCAGGCTGTTCAGTGCAAGGCTAGAGGTAGGGCACCTAGAACAAAACCCCTCTCTCGGAATGGGCAGGCCTCTTGACCCCGGCGACAATACTCCCTAATCTTCTTGTTTTTTTCCATCTCAACTCTCTTCTTCCCTATATATTGAGCAATCTACTGCCACTGACATCGTAGCTGCTGTCATCGGTACATGTAGCTCTTCCACCAAACCGTTTCTTCTCATATCACATTGGTTCTTGTTATAATTGAGGGAACGCCTCTATTATGATTGCGTAACGCCGGATAGGTTTGTCACTGGCACGGTTGGAGCACGCCTACGGTAACGGATTGGATCGCTGGCCAATCGAACGGATTTGCGTTGACCTGATGGCGTTAGCTTAGCCCGGGGTACGCGCTGGTGAGGCGGAAATTGAGCGAGCGTGAGAACAATCCTGACCGCACGTATTCGGGTAGATGCTGAACCCTCGGAACAGGCGCACACGAGAGGGGGTTACGGTAGACGCGCGCTGGTGACTTAGACGCGAACGCTCTCCGGCTAATGACGCACACAAAATCACTTGACCCGACCGACTTCCGACTAAGGCGAAGAGGAAGAAAGGCGAGTGATCCTCTGAAGGCTCTTTTACGACCAACAAAGGGCGAATCACAACCAATGCAATGTGTTATTAAGTTAGGGAAAATTGCTATCACGATTGGGTGATAGTTTGTAGAAGAACATTGTCAACAGGTGCGCAGTTGGGCTGCGTCTCGGAGTGCCTGAACACTGCTACGTTGTGGGGAGGAATTGGACCTCGCTTTCCACACCCATTCTGCCGGGGTTTTGGGGTTTTTGCGGGGATATTTGACGGGCCCGCAACACTTATTTTACGTCCACACTTTTTATCAGATCGGCCAATAGGCAGCACCAACTCTTCATTCTCTTAGTATTAATGGGTGCTGTGTCTTCGCAACACGCATACAGTATAACATCGTTGTGACGAATCTTCTACTTCCTCGTGCCCAGAGTCTGACGACGATAGTTACACTCTGCGTCTCTGGCTATGCTGAGTCAATGGCTCAAGTTATTTACGATGTTAGTATTGTCCTCTGCAAACCTGCTGAAGGCAATCTGCTCGACTGGATACTGGTGAACAGCCGTATGTGTGCGGTTCGCCTCCGAACCTCTATTGTAGTTACTAAACAGCGTCTGAAGACAAGTGCCTTTTCATCGCTTCAGTTTATGCCCCTATCGAATATATTTCGGAAGGGATCAAAGACGATCTCCATCGACAGCTCTAATCTCTTCTTCGCATGACGAAAAATATCCATATCGTGATTGTTGCTGATATGATATGAATGTCCAAGTGGGTCGTTTTCCAGACTCTGAACATCACCTGGTATCTTAGTTGTTCAATTGAAATAACCTGAAACTGTTCGCACATTCGATGAACACTAGTGGGGTTGAGGCTGTTTTATTCTTCGACCCATGTGTAACCCAATAACTTCCTATCTGGGCTGTTCGCCACGTGTACAAAACTCTGTAGAGTCTACGTTTTCGGGCGTCACGGAATATGACAAATGTATAGCTTCTGTTACCGGGATGCCAGCAGGACGGTGTTCTCCCACATTTCATCCTGACTTTACCCACGTCTGTGTGGTTTAAGTGCCACAGTTTATTTTATTTCTTCTATATTTTGTACTATTGAGCTATGGATTCTTCTGTCAACTCCCTGCGCGCACATTGTCATGATGATACCCTAGCTATACCATCGAGGCAGTCATTTCTTTCTTCTCATCCTTTCTTTTCGCCCTGTACATTTGATCCACAGGAGGTCGGACAAGTTCCGAACGATTCTCCTCTGATTTCCACGCTGAATCAACTTGAGGCTGAGTTGCTGCAGGAACTGGGCGAACATTGTGCCAACGGCTTCACTCAGTTCACAAACGCTTACCCAACTGAAGAAGCACAGGACACGAAGCTGTCTCATGTGGCTCCATCTGCGGTCACGAAAGAGCTTCCTAGAAAAGAGCCACCCAAACACAGGCGCGAACCCACGCCGCCTTCGGAGAACTGTGCCAACCTCGAGGAGGGGACCAATCCACCGCATGGAACTGCAACGGCGGAATCAGCGCAATTTCAGTGGTCAGCGCAACAGCTATCCGCTTGGTATGAGTATCAAAAACTGATGCAGTACGCACGATGGTACCATGCGGCTTGGGCGTCTGCAATGGAACAGTACAACTCGGCGGTGGAACGGTTGAATCAAGCAAGAATCGCTGAAACAGCTGACCAATCTACAGACAGTGAGGACGTGTACGATTAAGCATGCCGCCTCACGCACACTATGATCCCATTGGCTTGTACATTTGTAAAGAAGTGTACGTTTTACTTTGAAGCATCTTGCTCTTGCAATCCTTGGATTTGCTTCTCTGTAAAACCTAATCTCGACATCTTATTCGCTCTGAAAAGCTGCGTGTCACTTTGGTTCGAATATGCATCTTAAGTGATTCAGGCACATGCTGGGCGAGTCAATCACTCCAAAACGAGCATTATGCCACTACTCTTCTGGTAGACGGAAACTATTGTACGCAGGTAGCTGCGTCTCTCATGGTTTGTCTAGTGAATTCCCTATAGAGAAGGCAAGGAGTTTCTCTTTTCCCATCTGGATGTGAATGACACAACGCTTGTTTAATATATCAGTGAGTGACTTCAACACCCAATAAGGAATGACCAGAATCACGCAAGTTACCGTGCGGCCTATTCGACTATTCAATTAATCATGGGAAATCGCACATGCTTATCGTCCAAGTGCGTTCCATAGCTCTATACCATCTCCCGGCCTAGTTGTCCTCTTGGGCAACAGAAATAATCTAAGGGGGCATTCAACATGAGTCTACTCAATTAATTTGTTCCGTGCGTACGCCAGTCACTTGTGCAGGTGTGTAGGTGTGGGTGTATAGCCCGTCGCCTTCAGCCAATTGGACCTCAGACACACTAAGTCATAGGGGTGCAGGCGGGACGCTTCAGCTCCTATGCACGTAACAAATTAATTGAGTAGACTCATGTTGAATGCCCCTTCAGATTATTTCTGTTGCCTAAGACGACAACTTGGCCTGGAAATGGTGTAGTTTCATTTCTAGCGGCGCTTGAATACGCAGAATCAGAATCCGTCAATGAGAGTGCTTGACCTTCAACCAATGAGGGCGAACGAAAGGGCTCAGTCATTTTTCGTGGCAAGGAAACACCCGATAAGGTCGCGCATCTGATAATATGGCCAATACTGTATATATGCTTCAATGTAGTTAACTTCCAGTCAGACAATGAAACCATGGTTTGTGAAGGGCAAAAATGCATGGGCTTAACATGTTGCGTAGTTTGATAATGGAAAGAATCGCAATTTCCTAGACTACACAAGTGGGCAATATAACGGAACTATCGGTGAAGCTACAAGGGCAACGGCATATTAGAAGCAGACTTGTGGGAAAGCGGTAGTACCACGCCAGACGGGATAATAAGTTAATATGGCTAATGCTCCTTGTAAAGTACGATCACACATCTCACTTGCTTGCGCTAAGTTACATGCGTTAGTGCGCATTATAATTCCATAAAGCTAATTAGCTGAAACACATCCCAGAGTATCCGTTCATGTAACCAAGTACAGGGATCTGAAAGCTTTCTTTGAAAATGACTAAGGTGTGGGCCTAGGCCACTGAGTTTTCAAAGGCGTTCCAGAGCTAGCACAAACCAACTACACAGCTACATACACATGGTTGGCGGCGTCCGGTTTCGGATTTGCCTTTCACTGTGGCCAGCCACAGGACGCCTGCGAATACAGAGGGACCATGGATGGATTGCGCTGCACCACCCACAGCTTCAACCACACATCCCATATCCAGTGTAAACCCGAAGGAATAAGACCGGGAGGCTTGTGCATGGGAGCCACGTTTCATCAACGGAGCCGGCCCACACTTCTTCACAGGCAAACACAAGCACGCTGTATTTGGGGAATCAAGCGCACACAAGGCGGTGGCTGGACCGTAGTCCGGTCCACACTGAGTGCATGGAACCGCTCTTCGAGCCTAGCATGTCCACAAGGACCGTGCACCCCGTCCCCTCAGCAACGACTATCTGTCTCCTGGAGCCAGTATGAAGGAGGTAGTGGGTAATAGACAGGTAGGCACGTTGTCAACATGCACATCAAGCGTAGCCTCACCGGGAATATCAAGCAACAGCCAATCACTTGAGAGAAAGATAACAAAGAAAATAAATCGAGTAATGCATAAGGAAAAGGTGACAAATAACTTAAAGTAATGAGCATCTGAAGTTCATCTGTTTGCAGAAGAATGCGAGATAAGTTCACGAGGTCAGAAGGTATACTTTACGGAAATGCCACGAACACAAAAATGTTTTCGAAAAGGACAAGAATTGGATTAAGTGACGTGTGCAAGTTTATAGAAGAAAGTACTGGTAGACATTTATATGAGAAAGCAAAGCATTGGGACAAAATTGAAAACCCACCACCTGAAATAAACAGACAGCACGCAAGCAAACGGTGACATAAATCTTAAATTAGTGAGCATATGAAATAAGTTGTTTACAAAAGAATGCGTTTACAAAAGAATACGAGGTAAGTTCACGAGGTCAGGTTTATTTTACGGAAATGCTAGAAACACGAAAATGTTATCGAAATAACTACAAGTGGCTTAAGCGACGTGTGCAAGTGTATAGAAGAGAGTATAACTAGGCATTTATATGGGAAAGAAAAGCATTAGGGCAAAATTGAAAACTCACCACCTGAAATAAAGACACTTAGCATGCAAGCACGCGGTTAGTAAATCGAATGCAGCGTAACTACAAACGCTGCGCCGGTTCTGCCTACGTCCTCTGCAGGACCGGTCGTCGCTTCGGTAGTGATCCCGCGTGGCCTCGCTCATGGCTCACTAGGCCTGCCTGACTCAGGCACTCGTGACCGCATGTGCTACAGCACCATGAACTCGATGTCGATGGAGTACAATCCATCGGTGCTTGCCGCTTCCGCACTTGCCGCTTCTTCTCTGCATGCATGAGGGCTTTCTCCCGCACTTCAGCAACTGCCTTCGTGATCAGATCGCGCCATGCACGCCGATCAACCGCCTTCGATTCCCATGGCGTGCAATCAAGATTAGAACGTGTGAGGCTCACTTTGATCATGCCCTGGCAACGTAACTTTGGTTTCCCCACGTGCCGCTTCCCAATAATAAGTTGACTTTATAAGAGTTGTTTCGGTATCCGAGTCGAATTCATACGCCACACATGACCGAGCCATCTCAGGTGTCACAGTAAAAGTATGCAGTCCACTACGTACATCCCACTTCTGCGCAAAACTTCCGTGTCTGCAACTGTGGCGCCCCAACCGATGCGCAAAATTCGTCGCAGACACTGCTGATGGAACCGCTCGAGATATCGCACATCCCGACGGTACATCGTCCACGTTTCACTGCCGTATAGAAGGACGGACAGTACCATGGATTTGTACACCATCAGCGTTGTGCCAATGGTAACCTGATGGTTGTTACACACTCGGTACTCAAACTTCCCGAATGCCGCTGCTGCCTTCGACACGCAAATACGCAACTCAATGTGTAGCTGCTGATCAGTCGACATCATACTCCCAAGGTAGCAAAAGCGGGAGGTGGTTTCCAATACTTCAGCACCAATGCTGATTCGCGGCAATATTGAAGATTGCACCTCCGGTGAAGGCTGAAAGAGACAGACAGTTTTGCTTGTGTTGATGGTGAGCCCGAATTTGGCCGCTGTCGAAGCCAGAGCACTAGTCATGTGCTGCAACTCATCCGCGCTGTGTGAAAACAACGCACAGTCGTCAGCAAACAGCAACATACGGATAGTTCTCTCACAGACTAGAGTTCTCGCACCGAAACGACGGATGTTCAGCAACCCACCATCAATACGGTGCTCCACACGAACACCGTAAGCATAAGCCGCGTCAAAAACACAACATTGCATGAAGATATATATTAAACAGGGCAGGAGCTAAGACACAGCCTTGCTTCACACCAGAGACAACTGCAAAGTCATCCGAGGTCTGTCCACTCAGCTGCACCCTCGCTCGCATACCACTGTGCAGACATTCAATTAAACTTACAAACTTACGCGGGCAACCAAACTTACCCAACACCAGTCACAATGCCTCGCGGTTCACCGTATCAAATGCCTTGGTGAAATCAACAAAAAGCGAGTACAACGGCTGGTCTCGTTCTCTGCACTTATCCTGCAACTGACGAGCCGCAAACACCATATCTATAGTGCTGCGACCCGAACGGAATCCGCATTGCTCTTCCGCCACGTTAGGTTCCACGACCTGACTGACGAGGCGGTTGAGCAGGATTCGGGCAATAACCTTGCCCACACAACTCAGCAAGTTGATGCCACGATAATTCGTGCAACATTGCTTGCTACCTTTGCCCTGGTACAGTGGTAGCACAAGGGCATCCTTCAGCTCAGGAGGCACCTCCTCCTCAATCCATACGCGTTGCGCTAAGCGTTGCAGCGCAGTCAACAACGCTGGTCCGCCGTGTTTCAATACTTTCGGTGGGATCCCGTCGGCTCCGGCACATTTGCCGTTTCGCAGCTGAGCAAGTGCTCTCTGCGTCTCATCCAGTGTCGGCGTATCCGCCAGATTAGCCTTCACATCGTGTTGCTTCAGGCCGTTTAATGTAGACCAGTCGATCTCTGAACGGTTGTTCAAGAGACAGTCAAAGTGTTTTCGCCAGGTCTACATTATGTCTGCAGTCTGTGTGCAGGTAGTGCCTGAACTAGCATCGATCAGTGTCCTCAGCGGCTCCAATCTCGGTCCATACACCGCCTTCAAGGAGTCAAAGAATTCCTTGTGTTGACGGCGTTCGGCGTAGCATTCCATCTGCTTCGCCTTCTCCGTCCACCATGCATTTTTAATGCGACGGAGCTCTCGGGTCAATCTCCGTC